GCGGTCCTCCAGGTTTGGCGATCGGAAACGGCATCAAAGGTAGACACTACGACTGTTTGTGATGGTTTCTCGGAGTCTCTGACTTTTGTGACTGTCAAAAGCGTTACTTTCCCAATAGCCAATACATTTTGAGTGACGAGGATTTACCTTCTCTTCCCTCCACCGCAACTAAAATGATAACAACCTTTTCCCCGGGGCTTAGTTGCATAGTTTTTACCGGTCGTTTAAGGGAGAGGGGCTTTTACCTTGCTAATAGCAGATTTGCACGATGTCATTTGACTACAACTATCAGAATTCTTTTTATTTTTTCTTTGTTATTTTAATTTTGAATTCCCAGGGGGGTTTAAAGAACAATTGCCCTTATGAACATAAGAAACAGAAAAAGTGAAGGATTCTGGTAGTTGTAGTCAAATGACGCCATTATGCAAATCGCCTATTCCATAGTGATCAACACTCTATTCTCCCTGACAAAATGAATGAGTAGGAAGGTAAACACAAGGCAGAAATCGTCAACATGGGGTGATTATTTTCAGTGATAAATGACCAAATTCTCAGTAGGAGTCTAAATAAAAATATGAAATTGATTAGGGAGAATTCAAATTTCGAGCGTGGGACAAGAATGGTGGAATCAGGGGAAGAACAACTAAATTGCAAACTCACAACTCAGGACTTGTTTTTTATTTCTTTACTGTTGGACTTTCGTGTTTTCGAAAAAGTCGTCCTCTACAATACAATATGTTCAAACACTGATTTTCTCTCTACGGTGTCATTTTATAAATAAGAAAGGTTTGTATACATAGAAATAATTATATAATTAGAAGTTATTTGCATTGTGTAAGTTACAAACCTCAAGACATACAATTAAAACAAATGCTCTACAAGTCGCGAGAATCACAACGCTTGTTTCCACTTGAAAAGAGTCTTTCCCGCTCTCATTCTTCTCCACAATATCGTAACAAGCTCGTGTATTTCTCGTCATGTGAGAAAAGTACAAGGTGCATATTAATTAGTTTGCTTCTGGCCGAGGTTTCTCAGGAAACAGTCGGGGGAATAAGCACCACTACGGCTGAGCCTGCGTTTTTCGTTCGAGACGTTGCTAAGCAATATGACGTCATACTGACGTACGCATGCTTTTGTGAGCAGTATAACCTGGCCACTACATTAGCAACTTGGTAAAAGGCTGTCGCCTCATTAGTCTTATTTGATTGAATTCAGCGAAGAGGCTCCTATTCCCCGGACTTATTCGGATAGAATTACAGGGGAGAATCTTGCTGGGGGAGGTGAAAAATTCAGTCATTTTTCATACAATTCAGTTCTTTAAAAGTTCTCATAAATATGTACACTGTCAAGCAAAACCTATCCAATGAAAGGCTAAAAACGCTGTTGTTCCTACGAGTGAGCAACTAGAAGAAAGCCTTCGATTCTCTATTTCCAAGTGAAACGTTTAAGCATCGCGTGAATAGAGATCTAAGCCATGACTCACAGTAGCCACAAGCGATGTCAAAGTGTGTCGGTGATGATTTGTTGTCTTTGAATTATTGTAGAAAGTGGTAAGCTACCCTTTGTTACTTCTGGTGTAATCATTCATAGCTGCTTTCCCAGCACCGTATCCGACACGGCCAATGAAAAAATAAAAATCCAACCGACTAATTGCACATTTTAAAAATCCGTGACGCCCTTTGAACATAATCCATAATAATTTATTCCTGATTAGTGACGTCATTACGCCTCACTTGCAAGTATGTTCGATCCACTCTTTTTTGCACCAATCACACTTGACGTGACAACACCAGATAAAAGTACAGTTACATTTGACGTCATCCACCTTGTTAGCAGTGTTATATCCCCGGCCGCAGCACAACTGGCGACAACCGTCCGTGCCTTCCGATGTCTTATTGCACGTTCTTCCTACCGTACCCAGAATTCCATACCTGTCGTCGGCTTTGCAAAAGTCCGGTGAGTTGACGGCGTAGACGAGACTTGAAGGCGACGGTCGACGGTTGTTCGTGTTCCTCTTTCGTCCTCGTCGTCCGCGAGAAAGTCTCGTGAGCTTGGTTTTGCTTCTGTTTAGTTTAACCTTCAGCGCGCTATCGAACCTTCGTCGTAGTTCGGAGGCAACTTGCGCCATCTTCGGCATGGTTTTCCAACACACTCGGATAGTACACGAGCCAGAGACACCGTGACATTTGCAACTCTTGCCCATATTGTCTTTTATAGCCTAAAACAAGGAAATAAAAAATAACATAATCAAACAAGTCCAAGAGTCTTTATCCTCTATAAACATGTGTAACAAACACAAACCAACCACTGAAACAATGCAGTCTTAGGCAGGTCAAACGTCGAACTTCACATAAGACGAACTAAACTGCAATTTGAGTCGATCCAAACGGTTAAACCTCGACCGTTGGGTCAAACGTCGATCTTAATTCGAATTTAGTTCGACCAACACGTTCTATCCGTCTGCTTCTAAATTCAGTCGGAAGAACTCAGTCGAGTCAAACGTCGAACTTATCCCGAACTTAATTCGCTCAGTTTAGCTCCTCTCATGTGAAGTTCGACGTTTGACCTACGCCTTAGAGAGGAATGGCCTGTTTACATTTGTCGGCCGTCTTCGGTTACTTCCTTCAAGAAAAATCAGGGAAAGGGATAGACGACAGGAAGGGGAGGAAATACACAGGCTACAAAACTAATCCCATCTGTTTGTCGTAGCACACGCGCTCTACGTGCACAAGACCATTCTCATCCCCAGAGCCCGCCGGTCCTTGTCATGTCCAAGGGGATCGCAGAGTCTGGTGACGAGAATGGCACAAGATGTGACGAAGGGGCTGTTTGAATAATTGGTCATCCTTGATTTGATTCACAGCATAGTTGTCGTTTGGAAGATCTCTCAGATTCTTTCTATCTTTTGAGAGTTCCTCGAAAGAGACAGGTTAACATTTGGGCGACTGGAGGTCCTAAATCAACATTGTTATAACAAAATCTGTAAGATCAGATCGACATGTACGGTTTGGTAGATGGAGTTATTGTACTGGCCTGTTGTCAAAAGCCTTGGCCCTTAGGCTTGACTTACCATTTGATTAATTAAATCTAATATCGAGAAAGATACCAAACAAACCCAAAACAAACATATTTATCACAAAAACATGTTTAATGCTAATGGAAAAATGTTACCCTTCGGCGCTAAAACCATTTTACTTCAGGATCACTGATTTTAGTAAACAATAAATCAAACAGAGTAAATTATCCCAAACACTATCATCGTCCAATTTTGTCCAACAAAATCAGTACAGTGTTATACATGTACACACTGAAGACGAAAGAGATAAAACCAACAACTAAATGACATCAAAAGAAACGTAAAGCAATCAAGAACTATGACTAAATTGTCGACCTTGAACCGGTTCAAATTCGTCTCTTCTAGAGAATAGATTAGGCGTTCACCACAGGGGGTAAAACTGCGATTTACTGCAATTGTTTCAAAAGGTCATTCCATCTTAATTAAATTTTGAAACTCGAATTCTCTTCGTCAAAACATGGATTACAGCCTGAGGGGGCTGGGCAAGGTGGCGGCTATCAAGATTAGCATACAGCCCCATAGCTATTTAACAAAACGAAAATTTGGTTCAAATTGGATGAAGTATGATTTGAGAATTTCCTCGATTTGCAACATAAAATAATCAATGAGCTTAAATGAACATTTCACTTCTAGTTCCAATAATTTAACGATATAAGGAACACAGTTGTGTAAATTTTCATGCTTATAAAGTTTGACAAAAACACACATTGTCAAAGACACCCGCTGAGGTTAATTCCAAAGCAAACATTCTAATAACGAATTTGTGATAAGCTTGTTCGTCTAAACATATAAGGCGGGCTTGTCTTTGACAGATAATCGATTGCGTCGGTGCAAATTCAGATTTTGGAATGTTAGTCTGTTAAGACTGTTGAAAAGAGTGCAGTAAGCCGTGTCGTCCGGGCCTTCAAGTAGAAGGCATTTTTTACAACGACTTGACGCATTTTTGCACGTGCGATTGCTGTGTTTGATCTGATCGGCTGAGAAGTTTGGAGAAGAAACAAAGCATCATCGACTCTCTGATGAAGTGTTAACAGTTGGGAGCTGAAAATATCTAGAAAATCTCAACGTGCTTCGAAAAAAAGTAGATTTAAAACCATCTTACGGCAGTTTAAAATGCTCTAATCCGTTAATAATGTAAAGGAATGCTTTTAAGACTAAAGAAGATTATGTTTGANGAGTATCTGCTGCCGAATCCAAAGTCCTCGGAGCATCCGCCCCATTCCCAGCTCGCTTCCCCAGCTTTCTGGCCCCTTTTTTGAGGCTGAGAAGCACAGTTACAGACATCCCAGTCACCCAGACTGCAGCCCTTGGTTATCTGGTAGGCCACGCCTGCAGCGGCAATAGCGTTCAGGTACGAACTCTCTCTGGTATCTAAAGAAAAGGAGGAGTAAGAAAGAAAAAAACGAATCCATTGAGTGGAAAGAGGCGACACTAGAATACGACTAATAAATGCGGGTCTTCGCCGGAAAATCTTGTGAAAATCTAGTATCTCTTGGTTTAGTCACTGCAGTTATTAAGCAAACAGCATCATTATTCATGACTATTGCATGCTAACTATTACAGAAATGGTCGGAAAATGACATACGGTGCAACAAAATAACAAACGTCGGGCGGTAGGATCACAACCGATGCATACAAACTCTTACAAACGGCGGGAGAAAAGGAAGGGGGGCTTAAAATTATGAGAGAAAGAGAAGCGAGGGACACTTGTAATTCTAGAGGACATAAACAGTAACTGAAAGCAACCCTTCATTCTCGTTCTCACTGCGCGCAAAACAAGGTTGTCACCTTGCATGTGCACGACAAAGATGACTCGGGGGCAATGATTTGTACTTCTATCGTCAAGTCTTAATATCGTTTAATTTCTCTAGCAGATATATTATCGTTATGTTATCGTTTGCCCCTGCTTCCTAAAACCTGTGAGGCAATTGGCACTTGTCCTGGGAAACGAGACGAGAAAAGACTTCAAGGCGCCTAACAAGCGCTTATTTACACACCAAAGTTACATAACATCATAAGTTATTTTAAAGATGTCCACGCAAAATAAAAATTTGTCTAGTTTCCGAACCTTGTGATGCAATTCGGTACGTTAGCTAAACTACTTTACGAACTGAGCAAGGAAAACGTGACTTAGAAAAAGACCTAACAGTTCAACAGTTCCTAAGTTTGGAACTGTTTACACTTACGTGAAAATTTATGATCAACTTGAGGTCAACTTGCCAATGTTCACTTAGCACCGTACCGCATTTTAAAGAGTTTTGCATGTTCTGTTGTATTTGACGATCAAACTTGATTTCATCCGCCTCCCGTGTAGTCTTCCACTTACGTTTGGCATCCTTGAATGTGTAAACTCAATCCAAGACTTTGCAAGGCTAATGCTTATACCTTGAAAACGAACATACAAAGCAGAATGCAAGAGCGTTCTTGATTCTCTGGCTCTTAAGCCAACGAACGCCCAAATTTTAATTTTCTATCTCTGCGAGACGTTTTTTGCAATGAACGTGCACGTTTGCGTGAGCCATCTTGTTGTGTATAAAGACCTAGCGACTTTCTTTACTTGTCCTCACAGAAGTTAAATCGCTCAGCAACCAATTAATTATTTTGGAGCTGAATTCAAAGCTGTACCGTTCTGTTGTAATCCGATGTCTAGACCATGGCCATTAGATTTTCGGCCAGTTCTTCTCTCTGATGGCGTTGAAACTCTAGAATCTTGCCTCAACTATGGATATTACGAGGCAGTTATCTGAAATATATACTGTATATGAGAATATGATGTTGAAGAGTATTATATTCTGACTGATCAGTTTACAATCACGTACACATGAAGTCTACAAAGCCAGTCAGTAATACAGGAAAGTCAAGTCTAGAGAAAAAAAATCACTCAAGCAGAATGTTTACATTTTTTTCCAGTAAATCAGTTATGCTACACAAAAGGCGACTAAGTAATAAAGTGAAACAGTCTAAAATTTAGAAACTTGTATAAAAAAGTTCTGCAAGGAATGAAACTACCTTACGGAAAACTCGCAAGTGCTACATGTAGTCTTGAAGTTGTAAAACATGAAAATTAAGCTTCCCTGCAAGAAATTGATTACGAATTAAGCAGGAATTCACAGAGCAGCTACATCAATTTGGAATTCTCGGCTCTGGAGAATTCTAAACTGTCACATTTGATCTACAGTACCGGTCAAAACTTTGCAAAAACTCCCCTGTTGCTTCGCGCGAGGTACGACCGGCTACAAATGAACTGTATTGACGTCAAAATGCGAGCGATTCAAAAGAACCCCAACCGTCTTTTCAGTTAAACAAAAGAAACAGCCAATAACATCGTCCGTGGAACAATCTTTAATCCCGTGCTCACCCTCAGAAATAATAAATGATAATAATAAAGATTGGCAGAATATTAGAACGGAAAAAGTTTCATAAAGGATCTTTCCGAATACCCCGCGGGCTGATGACGCTAAATCCACCTAATTACTTGTTAGGCTTGAGAACGTGCGGCACGCTATAAAGAATCGAGAGAGTTTTAATAAGTTCAGAAAAAACTCAATGTTTGGGCCGTGAGATCATTTTCCGTCCACTCTTCCTGTGCCTTTGTTAACAGAAGCGAACTTAGTTTACTGTTTGTTCTTCTACTCGTTTTCATACATTGCTTTCAAGTAGCAATCTCTCGCAGTGGGACATTTCTAAAACAACGACCAAGTTTGCACCCCGGGTTTGCATAGAAAGGGGCGGGGAAATGGGCTTGTTTTGAGACATAAACCGCGCTTGAACCTTTCAGTTGATGATTTTTTAAATTCTCTTCACTTTGCTACAAGGCGATGTAGTGATATCGTTTGGAGAAATTAAGCGACGATCACAAGAGTTGAAGAGCAGCAGACGAAACTTCGAGACTAGAAGAGTTGGACCAACCCGGGTAGAAGCTAATACCAATTTAAACAGAATAAACATTTTTCGATTTTAGAACAAACAGCTCTATCAGCACCTTTAAACACCTTTCAAATTGGCGTGTTTACCAAAGTACAAAAAAATGTCGAGTTCATTCTGGTTGTATTCTTTTCCAGAGTTCACGTCACGCTTTTAAAACAGCAATACCAAAGGTATTCAAATGCCATTCTTTTAGAACAACACCAAGCAAACGAACACACGTCTGATTCTGACAAAGCCATTGTTCAAAAGCCAATTTAAAAGAAAATTACCAAACCTTGTTTGAAGTTGTGATGGACCGAACAACCCACAATTACCCTCATTCTTTATAATTACCGCCTGAAGTGTTGTCTTTTTCTATTTCCCATTTCACGATGGGTAATTTTTCGCGACCGATAATTTCACGCAAGACAAAGGTTCTGAAAAGACATTAATGCCTTAAGGGTATCCAGGAGAATAATGGCGAGAAGGCAGTGCAATTATTTGCTAAAAGATTAATGATAACTTTGCGGAATAAATCTCTTTAGGGATTATTTTCTGCCAGTTTTGAGAGAACTTGTCAGGGTTGACTTGACCCAAGAAGGGAAAAGTTGATCGAGCGTTTAGCGACACCGAAAGTTGAGTTTTCAAACGAGCCGACCAAAACCGACGAAACTAAGTTGAAAGGTTTTGCTTGGACAATGTTTTAATCTGTAAATCAACAGACATTTCGGCTCCTGATTTCTTCGAGCAATGATCCACAGGAAAAAAGTGTTCCGTGTTACGATGTTTACAGAGGCAAAAGCCAGTCAGACTAATGTGTGTGATGTCAATTACTTTTTTGTTGTGGTGAATTCCACAGGAAACCAAAAACATTGACGCAAGTACAGCTAATTTCTATTCTCTCTCTGCTTCTTCCCTGCGATAAGCCGGCCCACGCTTGCGTGGAGCGCTACACGGGTCAAGGATATTTCAAAGTGATCGTTGAAGAAAGAAACGGAAATTAAAAGCCCACCCGAAATCACAGCAAGGCGCGCAGGTTCACGACCGCGTGTAAAATAGAGTGTATTGGACACCCTTAATAACAGCAAAGTTGTAATGTGTTTGTTTTCAAAATGTCTTCGACTCCTCTCTAGATGACTGTTGAAAAACCGGAAAACAAAAGAAAACCGCTAGAGTTACCCTGATATTCCATTACTCTAATGAAAAGCGGCCATTACGGCTAAGAGTCTGATACAGGCCCGCGAGATTAGCGATACAACACACGTCGTAAACAAATTGACACTTCACGTCAGAGTTTTCCATGAGAAGCATTAAGTTATCTATGCTGTGTACACATAAGAGGACATATTTCAACGTCTGTGTGGCCCCAGATAACGTGGATCAAAGAGAAGAGGTATTAATTGAGCCTGGTGCAGGCCTGCTCGCCAATAATCACACAAACAGCCGTTTTTCGCATAGGAAGTCATCGCGAATATGCTTTCTTGAGGTGACTTCAGGGACAGTCCGGTGTAGTTTTCAAAGAAAACACTGTGGACTTCTTGATCATATTTATCTAGCAAAGGCCGCCAAATCCACGAATGATCTCTCTCATACGGCATTTAGCTTTAAAGTTGATGGTACTTTGGTATGCAAACACTATAGCTGCTTGAATCCTTCTTACGTATTAACTGATAAAAGTAATAATTTCGTGCCTGGGAACGCGAAATATTGCCGATGACTTTTCGCCTTAAAAGGGATGGGGGAGGAACTAACTTTCTAAAATGTGTTTGAACTTTGGATCAGTGTTTGCTTGGATGCAAATTTCCAAGACATTTCCTAAGCCTGCTAGATTCGTTTCACATGTGTAACAAAAGTGCCGGTCGATTCGTTAGGGTCAAGTTGTCGCGACTGCAAAAAAGAGTTGAAAAAACCCGGCCGAAACGTTTCGCGCGACAAGAACTTTCAGCACGGTAACAATGCGAGATTCGCGGTCGAAAACTGTTGTTGAAAGGTTGTTTGAAACTGTTTAGAAACACAAACGAATAGAGGAGGGCGTTGAGATGTCCAAAAAACGAACAAAACCAATAACTCCGCTCAAAGGAGCACCCTGCAGGTAAAAAATGCCTGCACTGAGAAACATTAACAAACTAGCACTAGGCGGTGAGCAGCCTTAGGGCTTGTTTGAACTCAGCAAATGCCACGCAACATTTCCAGCGCCTGTTAAACTTATTCCAGACCAGCAGATTGCTTGATAGACACGGACTGCCAAGCTGCTCTGAAGTGGGAATTAAGCGGATTTTTGAAACAAAATATTTCCTCATGTGTTCTTCATGAAGGCACATATGCTTTCCAGTTGGTATACAGACCGCAACTGCGGCCCGAACCGCATTGCAACCACCACATCACAACTTACACTGAAGCGAATCAACGCTACAAGGCCAGCTTATCTTTTCCCTTGGTTCTCAAAATATCGGTGAAAGATAAGAACAGTTCAGGAAATGTACGATAATAATGTTGTAGGTAGAACGTGGAACGGAAGCGGGGTTGGAACCCTACATTGCTGAATGTTAAAGGAAAGGAAATAAAAGTTTAGATCATGCGTAACTTACTCGTCTTGAGCATTCTTTCTCTTTGAAAAACGTCTGCGATCGTAACGCCGGAGCAGTTCCATCGGCGATCAGTAAACTGACTCCTGCACTCTTTTAGGCCCAGTTCGACACCGTCCCGAGCGCTCAAGCCAAGCAACGGTTCCTCTTTACACTTCTTTAGTTGAGGATCCTTGAGCCAAGAACAAAATCTCAAGGCAGCTTCGTTACCGGGTTGCCTGCAGAGAGAAGAGGAAAACAAGTGAGCCCGGGTACCGCCGTGTGTAGACTGTAACTGTTCATATCCAGACCACCCTAGCACGAGCAAGACCCTAATAACCTTGTACGCGCTAGATGAAACATTGTAGTTCGCTTTCAACTCAACGACCTCCTCTCGACGCCTCAATTACCATCCAAGTAGTTCTCGCTTCGTGGTGAAAATTTCCCACTTTGGAACAAATATTAAACAATAATCTGACTCACCTGGTCTTTTTGCGCCCGTCTATCGCAGCAAGAACGATGAAAGAGACAAAAGAGAGAAGCCAGACGCGCGCTCTCATCGTGTGTTTTTTTCTATGTTTCCCGTTTGTCGTAGGCGGCTTAAAAGTGTCTCGCTGAAAAGCTCCGAGATGAACGGACTCGTGTGATTGCTTAATGGCTTGTATCTGTCAATCTAAGAAGTCGCTTGAAGTTTTCACTTGAATTTAATAGTAAAAGTCGCGGTCCTCTTCTCTCCCGCGGCCTTGTTAACACGTTTTCAAGTAGCGTTGATTTAGCTATTCGGGCAAACACTTCTCGTATACTTGTGTAGCGCTTGAGGTCAAGAACGTACTTAATAAACAACGGCTCTCATCGCTTGAACGCCTTCGCAAGCCAGTAATCTTGGCAATTTCGCGATTAAAATGAACCGAAACAAGGCAATCGGCCGGAAGAATGGGTCTTGAAAAACGACGCGCGCTGATTGGCCACAGCTCCCTTTGTCCTAGATCGCCTCTATTTTTCCAATAAATCATCTAATAACATCGAGACAAAACGCTTGTCAAAACAAAACCCGACTTAAGACCGAATTCAAATTCATAAGGACCGGAAACCACGGAATGGTTCGAGGCAATACGCTCAACGAACAGACAGTCCCGCTTAATTTGATCAATAAACTCCAACTGTCCTGAGGAATGATTGTTGCTAATTTCGGCAAATCCGTCTTGATAAGGAAAAAGTTACGCCGACCGCGTATAAATTCCAGCACAATTACCCACTCAAACCTTCACTAATTAAACGTTTCATTGTTGTTTATTAAAGTTGAAACGTGCGACCCTCTATTATGCCCGATTCCAATAGCAATTTTCTTGTTTGCGCTCCCCAAGTCGCAGTGTATTGCACGTTCGAGTATCCCAGACGGTGAATTTGATATGTCCTTGTTTTCACAGTGATAGATCGTTATATAAAATGAAAAACTATCATGCTCGGTGGATAGCTGTACCCAGCCATGCCGAAAATAACTTTGGTGTAGATGCAAAGGGTTCTTTTGTCAATCGGCACCTCTTTGAGATCGATTTGAGTACAAAAAGAAAAGAATTGAGCTATCTCTTATCTAGCGCGGAAAATTCTGGTCTAGATTGCCGAACATGCTGGCAATTTGTCGTGGAAATGACTTTATCGAATCTAGCCTTGCTCTCTTTTTTGAGATGAATCAATAACACTTAGGTCAACAGTTCAGAATGATTCAGATGTAATTAAAGCAATCTTCGCTCGATAAAATTAATCACAGGCAAGATAATTTTCTCTATCGAGGCCTGCCATCATTTATTACTGCAACTTGATTGTTTGGAAAACACATCAGGGCGACTAACCAACGTCGGTTTTCTTTGCGTTTCGCTATTTTGTTGTGCAAGCATTTACGGAATTCCATCAAAAACGAATCAACGGCAAAATTTAAGAGATTCGCGTGTTTTTTAAAACGCCTGTTAAGAGGGCCAAAAGATTGCGGAAAGAACGTGACAAGGACAACGACCCAATAGGCAATAAAATTCAAGAATCATGAACGAGTGTACGAATTGCGTAAGACAAATATAAGGAAGAGTCGCTAACACAGAAATGGTGCAGAGATTCTATTAGAACCGAAATTCAATATCCGGCGAGTGTTAAATCCTAATGATTGTTTTTTTGTTTTTCAGCCCGACTCGTTAAAACATATAAATTGCCGAAACGCCTCCGATTACCGCAGAAATAAGGCGAAAAATATTAAAAATTTGTCCGTTCAAGCGTGCGCGCCTAGCCTACCCCTGAATGTCGCTCTAGACAATGTCATTATAAAGTACTTTATTGTTCATTAAATTTGGCAAATGTCCGAAAAGTTTCTTTAACGTTAATATAGAGAAGGCTATTTTTTGTTGACAAAAGAGACAGGAAATCTGAAATAACACAATATTAATAATTTTGTAAATGAAGAAATCGGTTGCAATGCAATTTTTTTTTTGTTGCGCGCGGAAATGTTGGAAAGATGTTAATCCAGTGCCTTTATAAGTTAGTATTTTGTTTGACCATCTTGCTCTTTAGTCTCGCCAAATCGCGGCATTTTCAAGTCTCTTTGTTCCGAGGAATAAAAAGATGTAATTATAGTTCCAAAACAGTGGCAACTTAAAATAAATATCCGATATAAAGGATGTTTGCCAACAATGTTTTTAGGCTTCGTATTAATGTCAGTAAAAATCAACAAATCGCCCACTACTGAGTCTGCGAGTTCACTTTGGAAATTTGATGAGGTTCAAAGAAGGCCAGATGCTTAAAAAGAATTGCTTTATCTAGTAATGGAAAGCATTGGACTTCAAAACGCCCCTTTTCATTTGGAACGATTTCTTTTCTTATTAACCAAACCCAAAATTGAGGCATTGTGACAAATATTTCTCTTGCTTTCTGTGATGCGACTCAAAACGGAAAACCGACTCAAAGATAACAAAGTTGGCGCTATCTCTATCACTCTGTCATGAAAGGCCAATCGATAAATTTATCTCCAAAAATGAAACGATAGATCTTCTTAGAGGTTAAGTGCCGGATTAACACAAACTGTTGAGTAAACAAAAAGACTTTAATACGGTAAATGTGGTAATGGTTAATTCTCGCAGGGCGTTAGCTTTGATATAGACAGGTGTTTTTCCCATTTGAAAGTGCCTGCGAGTCCCAATTAAATTCGACGTAAAATATCATTATGTGTATTTGGTTATCCTATTAAACGTAAATAAAGCACAACCGGATTGACCAAAATGGCCAAATACAAGCAGGGAACCTTAGCAAATCAACGGGTTTCCGCGAAGATTCTGGATAAGTTTTGATTTTGCCGTTCCAAATCGCGTGTGAATGACGGAATTTTTGCCAATTCATCAGTAGTCACCATTTTTTTTTTACATAGGAGTTTCAATAAAAGGATCGTCCCTTTTCAGCAGGGTGCCATCGAATTGTTTCTATAAAAATGTTAGACCTTTCAAATGTGGGATTTTTAAACACTTTTCAATGATATCGGGCAACTACGACCTTCGTTATAGTACATCTGCACAGCGACTTGAACAATATAGGGACACGCCAAGACTATTGAAAACAGATTTGCCTGGTGAATTGCGCGGTATCAGCTGTTTTCAGCTGATTTCATTTCACAAACACAACGTTTTCTTCTACATGTCATATGCTTTTGCAAACAGAGCAAGTTTTTCTCCACGGCCGGAAATTGAAAAAGAACACGAAAGAACACTGAGCTTTTCCATCTCAACAATACAAGGAACGCTGACTGTAGACGAAAGCTTGCCACATTGTAAAAAAATCATTGGTAACCCCATAATTCAAGTGATTCAAATAAAGGAAAGCCGAAATATTTTTGCAGTGTGCCTGATAATCTCCGCATAAAAGAAAAAAGATCAGAGAAATAATACAAATTAAAACACAATGTTAGAGGCCATCTGTATAACCCTCTGTCGAAATTTCCTCAGCTGTTTTTCACTCAAGATGTTCAGAATTAAAAACACGTTTTGAAAAAAACACATTAAACGTGCAGGCTTTAACACGCGAGCGAAACATACTTGCGTAAAGATAAAAAATCTGACCGGTAGAAATCGAACTTGTCAAAAGTATTTTCGGACGATAAGAATGTACCCCTTGATGAAGATAGAAAGTTCTCTGTAACATGGTTAACCCGACCGGAGATGACTTTCGGAAGACTTGAAATGCATGTCTGATGCATTTTTCTGAATAAAAAATAACTGATTCTTGTCTATGCAAGATAAACCTTTTCAAAACATACACTTGTTTTGGAAACCCCTTTGAATTCGCACACTAAGGCACAGCACGCTTGTGACGCGTGGTTAGAAAGCGTGCGTCTTTCGTATCAGTAGCAACAGTGATGAACACAAGAGCGAAAGCTACAACATAAAACAGTTACAGGTGTTAACAGAGCCAGAGCCAGTACCCTTTAATTTATACTAAAGATATCTCAAGCAATCAAAGTGAAATTTCGTATTATTAAAAAATAATCATCGATCCAAAACGTTCGTGTAAATGGAGTTGTCAAATTGTTTTAATTTGTTTTCCCTATCTAGACTTGTCGAAAATTGATCCACGGTGTTTATCGATCTCTTGGCACAGGCTAGCTGAGGAGAGGAAACAAGCCAAGAACAGGCAAGGCAGCAGATGGTAAAACGAATCTACGGTCAATATCACCACAGGGAGGCGAATCAAGACTGATTGTGTGATAAACACAGACTTCATTCATGTGGCTCACAGATGGTCTCTATGCTGGTGTTTTTAACGTTCATGCACGCAAACGGATTATTTCCATTTGTAAATCGTCTACAAATTTTCTCGTGAAAAAATGTGCCACCAATTTCGGCACTTAAGTGAATGTTGCCGAATTCTCTAAATTTTCGTTGTATTTTTAGCCGCGGTAAGCCGCGAGTAATGACCGAACATTTCTTCACATCTATTCAAAGGACACTGATACCTCTTGCACGATGACATTCGAATAGAGATAATTCGAAAAGAACTGTTTGTTTTACGCTCACCAGGCTATCTTTTCGCATTCAAAAAGCAATCAGGAATTAATATTGTTTTGAAAACACTTCTATTTCAAAATTGAAGTTCACTTGAAAAGTAGCAGGGAACAATGATCTTTCAACCTAGTGTAAGGAAAGTCGCACAAAACTTTGTTCTGTGCGGGTTTTAATCCATTGTCTGCAGAGCAAAAAGTTGTTCACAGATGTAATCTCCTAACAGCTGGTGAGTGATAAATGTTAGTTTTCTTTAGAAAAACCGGAACTTTTCAGTAACTATGTAGAGTCCTCGTAACAGATCGCGCTTTCTTTTTTCTTTTCATATGTTTCCAATCAAGTTTCCTAAAGTCTGCACCTCACTGCAGGAGTGTTTCAAATTAGGCTTAGCCATTTTCACAGGCAATTCAAATCATCGCCGGAAGCCTTTTGCAGAAAATAAAAAAAGTTGGTTGGATCAGTATACGCTCTGTAATGAGTCACAACCGTTCAGAGTGCCTTAAATGCTCTGTCTACCTTAAAAGGACCCTTTTTAAGCTCCTCTCTCTAATGAGCTACTTCTAGAGTTTCAATTTATAATATAAACCCCCTTCCGCTCGGGTTCCAAGGAGAATACTAATAATCCTTTTCGCTCTATGCTCCATGTAAGTGCCAGTTCCGATGAGCCATCTGTATGGGTTCTCTGATTTCGTAAGATTTCCCTGCAGTTGAGGAGTACAGTAGAAGAACATGTAGAGTAGAAAAGACGACTGCATAAGTATCAACTTCGTTGTTTTGCCGGAGTGCTTATGTTATCTCTTAAAATCATCAAGCTCTTTACGCACACTTCAACGTCAGTCGCAGTTAGGAACACAGATGCGGTCACACAAAGTCCTAATAGTTACGTTATGTTGACGTTCATATTTTGTTGACCACTGATAGGATCCTCAGCTACAGCATAGCAGATACACTTAGGTTGGACGCTGTTCAGTTTCCACTCTTGGTGATGTGGGTTACGCTGACGATATGGCCCTTCTCTGCCACACAGCGTTGCACACAGGCAAGCAAAACTGTCGGGCAACTTTTAAAACTGTTGCCGGATCGAAAAAAATGTGCTTGAAAATCAATAGAAGACCAAAAACATCTGGAAGAGCCGGCAAGAACAAACACACCAGAACGAGGTTGGTGTGGTATCACACTCCGAGTGTTGCATCTCACTATAAGGAGATAAATCTTCCTCCAATACTTCGTGCCTTTTACGCCACGAACATCAAGAAGAACGCTTATTTGTTTACTGCATGGCCGCAGACACTTACGATATCTTATATAGATATTTTGGAGCACGGTGGCCTAATAGTTAGCGCGCTGGACTCACTGTTGATTGGACCGCTTTCAAGCCCTGCCCGGGGTCATGGTGTTGTGTTCTTGGGCAAGACACTTTTCACCTCTCTCCACCCAGGAGTACGACTAAATCATAATTAAGACTGCTTAGTGTAACTTTTCCACTCACGCAGAGATTTGAGGAATAAAGACCAACTGCTCGCAGCTTACACCAACTGGGTACCGGTGCACACTTAGACCAACCTGACAAAATGCTGCGTAGTTGGGGGGGAGGGAGAATTTTTAGCGGCACACTTAGATCAACCTGACAAAATGCTGCGTAGTGGAGGGGAGGGAGAATTTCTAGCGGCACACTTAGATCAACCTGACAAAATGCGGCGTAGTGGGGGGGAGGGAGAATTTCTAGCGGCACACTTAGATCAACCTGACAAGACGCTGGGGGAGAAGGTAGCCTTGTGATGGACTAACATCCCCCTCCTTGGGAGGGTAGCCATACTGCTAGACACTTCATGCTGCAGGGTTAAACGTCCACACTGATGAGCCACTGGGCCCCTCCAATCCACTGGATTGGGACAGACTTCTTTGCCAACATGCAAAAAGTTTAGAAGCCAGTGCGTGCTCAAGCCTTGCCGGAAAGATTAACATAAACACAAGAAAGGTGAAGAAACAAATTCAAATCGGCGATTTCCAGGTTCATTCATGAAAGTTCACAGAACGATTATTACAAAAATTGTATTATGACAGGAATTATTTGACACCAGATTCTCACACAAAACATTGTATTTTACGACTGGTTAGATTCGCACCAATTTTAAAAAGGTGAAACTGCGAACTGGTCATTGCTAAAAGAATTAGTCATGGCGGAAGTCATCACCCAGTTATACGTATTCTGCGTATAAGCCTGTATCAGATCAGCATGATCTTGGTAACATCATGCACTATGCCCAAGTCCACATTTATAGAAACACACGAAAAACCATTGAGAACAAAAGTATCTATGGTCCGGGTTAGGGTTCTCCTGTTTGTCGTTGTTAGAAACGATATAAGGTTCTCCAAGTTTACCTTTATGTATGCCTAAATGAAGAGTCTTGAAAACATGTCCATATCAAGCAATTGTTCAAGTGTTTTCTGATAACATCAGATCATTCGATTACTTCAATAAATGGATTCCTACTTGTCCCCCGTCAGGTTAGTCATAGGATTCCTACTTGACTCGCTGATGCTCAACGTTGGTTGCTCGAGTGCCGAACCGTCACGTCGCGGCAAACTCCAGTGTCTCTCCAAGGCTGAGAACAAGACGCCTCATCTCGTCATCAGACGCCCAGTCGATACCACTTCCTACGATGAGGCCCTGAAACAGGACAGGAGTTACATACAGTAAAAATCCTCGTGCAAGACCGTTATAAGAATGTTCGTACGTACACATGTGGTGCTTACTGAGAACTGATTTAGGCTACTGTGAAATCCCAAATTCAAGAAACAATCGATTTTTCGAACTTCCCGATAACTCGAACCAAAAGACTTCTTTCCCCTCACCACCTCAGTCGATCACTGTAATTTTACCCCAGAATTCTCGAACTATCCGATTTTTCAAACGAAATTTTCGTTTCCCTCCGTTGGAGGTTCGAGAAATCGGGATTCCACTGTCGTTTGCTGCTGGTTCAGTAACTGGAATCTTGGTCGGAATAAGTTAAGGTGATCGAATGAATGCGAGTGCAATTAAGGATTTAGGGCCTGTTTACAAGGAGGGATGGTTACCCTGGCAAGCGGGTTAACCCTAGCTGGACGGGAAAAGATAGCCCGGGTTTACAAGCAAATTTCGCGGGTAGGGTAACCCTACAACCCGGGACAACTTAATGCGCGGTTATACTCAAAGGATCCGGAAACAATTAGAAAGTTAACCCGGCTGGGCGGGTTAACCCTACCTGGAGGGTTTACAAGGGAAAAAGGTAACCCGCCTGCCAGGGTAACCCGACTACCCAGGTAACCCTGGCTGCCCTGTAAACATGATGAAGGAAAAAAAGGAAATGTGCGAGTGCTAGGGCAACCCGTTTGCTAGGGTAACTCTTTTTCCTTGTAAACAGGCCAACAGACTACGAGTTATATTTGAAAATTCTCTCCACTTGCACTCTCAAATATCACTCGTAAATGTAATTACTCATTACTCATTCATTATATGACTGAGGAAATCACGAAAGCGCACGCGTTAACTTACACTGCAGAGCAAATTAAGAATTAACGATAAATTGGCCTGCTCTTAGCCAATCACAATGAAGTAATTTTCTCAGTTATGTAATATAACGAGAAACAAAACTCCTCCCCCGAATCGACGATAAACTGCAATTGGCGCTAAAACCAAAAGTCCCACTTTTTCCATCGTTAAACTGGTGGGAAGGGTGGTCTTAATTTTTCACTGATTTATATTGACCAAGATTGTAGTCTACTGGGTGTTTTCACTTCCTTACTCACAGGAAACATGTCTCATATTTCAGGATAATAACGGTTAACCCTTTGTTGCAGCAAACAACAAGCACTTTGCGTTGACGCAGGGCTAACACTCAAAACACCAGCTTCACTAACGCGCTTCGGCGGTTAATTTACCTTTATCAACTTCAAGTTGACAAATTGCTAAGCAGTATTTCACGTGCTCGCTGACGCAGCCCAACAGTTTCCGGCTTAAAAAAGTTGTTCATGCAGCAAGAACCAGTCATTTTGATTTTTACCGAAAGGCAGGACTGTTTTACTCCTTGGAAATAGCAAGCGCCATGTGACCTACCTGAAAAACATTTCTGACGATGTCAATCTTTTCTACTTTCAGTGCTATCTGTTGTTTCAATCTGAAAAAGAATACGGACGCGTTACTTCAACTTGCCGTTTATTTGTGGAGAAAACATGAATGAGGAATGAAAAGAAAAAAAAAAACGATCAATTTGAGCGATGCACTCGTTCTGGCTCCAATCCGCGCCGTGTACGTTTGGAATCACAACTGGCTGGAAAAATATTTCGTTCGAGAAACACTGCAATACCACACGAAAGACAATCAGGAGTCAGTACTCTACACACGCTTGTTGTTTGCAGCACTCGCACAATGGAATTCTGTTTGAATGCTGCTCCAAACTGATGGATTTGTGAACAGTCCGACAGATTGTAAGTTTGCTTGAAAAACCATACAGCGTGAAAAAAAGACTTGGAATATACATACATCCTAGTCATTTTCCCAAAAAAAACATAGGAAAAATAAGAGGAAATTAGCAAGAATATAGGAGATTTATAGGAGGATTTTCAGGCACTGACAAATGAAATTCTTAGGTTCAAACAAAATTTAATGAGTCTTGCATCATTTCTGAGACTGTATTTACATGTATTTGAAACTAAGACACTAGTTTACAATGTGCTCAGTATCATTCAACTGTCCAGAAATAACATAATTGAACCACAGGTGACAAGAGAGAAAGCTTGTACACTCAATACAAACCTCGCGTGAACTGTGAGCTACCTTTTTTGTTTTTCACCATTTTATTTTATTTTTCTTGAACTGTATTTATAGGAAATATAGGAGTTTTTAGCCTATTATAGGAGTTTTATAGGATCCTATAAAATAAATAGGAAAAATACTGGGATGTATGAATATAATAAATGACGGGTTTTGCAATTACAGTCGAACCTCTCCACAACGGTTACCTTGGGGACAGAGAAAAGTGGCAGTTGTATAGAGGTGGCCGTTAGTGGAGAAATCCAGCATGTCCCTGACCTTGAACCCCTGACCTTCATTTCCGAATGATATTCCTGGTTCACATTGATACTTACTTTTGCATTGTAGCATTGTCTGTGCTCGAGGATGCAACATTTTCCTTTTCATCCCTCAATTTCTGTCGAATTTGGGCAAAAGTAAGGTTATAAGAGTCAGGCTACATATCAAATTCAGGATTTAGTAACACCGATTGGCAATGTAAAACTAGTAGATCTGTAAGTTGTGTTATAATAGTACGACAACAATGTTTGCGAACAACAACTTTCTACAGACCCCATAACTAGCAAGAGCAGCATATATCTTTAGTCGCTGCGTTAAGGGAACAAAATAGGAAAAAAAACATCAGATGTTCTTGTTGACTACAAACGCTACAAGCAGGGGTGCAACAAGGGTGCTAAAAAAGACGACGTACTAAACAAAAAGGCCAGCAAAAGAGGCACAGCTTTTTGAAACAATTTGTCATGGAATCATAAATCCACTGGCTGAAGTAAAAGAATTTTGACTGAGCATAACTTTGCAACTCAATCCTGCATGTAAACATTGTTAAATTTGTTCTCTCCCTGTCTCCCTCTGCCTCTACTTTAAAAGCCTTCTTTAAACCTTTTCAGGGTTGCCCCTTTAAACAACGATTTTAGGTCTTTAGGATTAATTGGAAAAGTGATATTAAATTTTTCTGTTTCTGTCCTATTGATTTTATGTAAAAACATCTTCACCTGAATCTGTTTCATAAGTCCTCGGTTTTCCTTTTTTATCTCTGTTGAAAGTACATTATTCAAGTTCAGTTTTACTTACTACTGAAAAAACAAGCCTGCCCTATTCTACCAGAGGAGAAAAGGAATTAAGTCAAGTAGGTGAACAAAAACAAGAAATGCAACTTGACGAGCCAATAATATATTACAAAGCTTAAACCCTGGCCAAACAGGCACTTGCATTGACTTGCACCCACTTTGGCCGATATCAAATTCGTGCGCAAGTAGACACAAGTTTTCCACCATTTGGCCAACCAATCCAAGTCAACACAAGTTGAGCCACATCCAAGTTGAGAGAGCGATGGTCACATTTTGGTCGCATGGGACTAAAGCCGGTAGCCTTGAAATGGTTTGTTTTGTAACGGCGTGTTTTTGCAAGGAATCTTGCGAGTCCACTTGGCCACTCAATTCAAGTCTCTACGCAAGCTCAACTTGCAGCTACTTGCGATTCCTTTTGGCCACTCAATTCAAGATTCTACGCAAGCTCAACTTGCGGCTAATTGCGAGTCCCTTTGGCCACTCAATTCAAGACTCTATGTAAGCTCAACTTGTGGCTACTTGCGAGTCCATTAGGCCACTCAATTCAAGACTCTACGCAAGCTCAACTTGTGGCTACTTGCGAGTCCGTTTGGCCAGTACTTTACGATGGTAATCGAGGCAAGGACCCTTACAGAGAAACAGATGGTTTGTATGTGGTTAGACTTCCTTGTTACAGTATAATATAATAAACAGGGTCAAAAAATGATCACTTGCTGAAACAAAAACACTTTGACTGACCATAACTTTGTTGCTTTAGTCTGTCTAAAGTAGTTTGGGCTTCTGATAAGACCTAAGAAAAATAAAAATAATTATATTCTTGGTGACATCAATAAATGGAAACAGGTAAAATATCTTAGGAAGAAAAAGAATTCATTTCCAGTGACTGGATTCTGGTCCAAGATGAACAGTTTTCCTCTTGGTTGATCAGACACTCAAGAATTGTTTTGACTTCTGTGATGGTCTGAAACAGTCTGTCTATTTATGTATGCTTAATGGTGACCATAGTCCGTGAGCCAGGCAGCCAAATTTAGGCTGTCGGTATCATTCAGGGTGAATAAGTTTCATGGTGTTTTTTGAAAGGCCCTGCTATTGTAGACTTGGAAAATCCATGATAGCACTGGATCGATGGTAGCTCCTCCGTGCTGACTGCATTTATTTGCACCCGCCTCCCAAGGTATAACACATTTGGCCCATAGTCAATTTATGCCATGTCTGAGAACTCTGATGCTTGATGTATCCGCCATTTTGAAAAGCCCAACTTCGTTAAGGTAAGTGCTTAAACTACTAGATATCTATCAGTCACTTAATTATTCCACAAAATATGAATTTTGTAAACATTTTAGTTTTGTGTGCTCTTAATTTTGAATGAATCAGNCTACTAGATATCTATCAGTCACTTAATTATTCCACAAAATATGAATTTTGTAAACATTTTAGTTTTGTGTGCTCTTAATTTTGAATGAATCAGTTTTAAAAACTTTGTTTCGATTGCAAAAAGCATGACAAAGACGACAGAGCTGAGGCACAACATGAGATGTTCAGTAAAACATAATCTAGAGTACAAACAAACGAGGAAAAACAGTTCATTTCTGTCGTTGCTATCAATAGCTGGAAATGTGTTTAACCTTCTTCATAAAAACTCTAGTATTTTTTTTAAACTTGCTCTCCTTTATGCAAAACACTCCGCTTCTCGGTTTTTTCTGATAATTCACCTTTTATCTATTTGGAACTTAAATTATACTTTATATTATAAGAAAACAAATCAGCTCGCATTAAATCTTTTTTAAACTCTTTTAGAAATTAGCCTTACAGTGCGATCTAAAGTTTGAAAATACTCGATCTATTACTGAGTGCTAATTTACTAGTGCATCTATAACTTATACGAAGTCGTTGATATCATCTACGCTACTGTTTCAGAGTAAATAATAGATTTCACTTCCCGTCTCCACACGTCTTCACAAACCTCGCCTGGGACAACATAGACAGAATCGAAGAGACCTTGTCAGGGAAAGGAACATCCCACCGCATCAACGGAATCGTTGTACAGCCTAGAGTCTTCGGTCCTTACCCACCGCCGAAAGACCTACCACGCATTGACAAAAGGAAACAGAGGACTTTGAGCACAGAACATCAACCCCAACTTCACGTATATGTCGCTGGCACTCGTGTGGGACCACATCCTCTCAAAACCAAGGATGACTATGCTAGTGAAACCAACAAAGCTGCGAGAAATGCAGAGCAGAAAAACATGCTGTGGATCCTTGCTAGGTAAGTCAATTCAGAGGTCCAAAAGGTGCCTAGTTGGACCGGATTTAACATCCAAACAAGGGATCGAATTCAAGTAACACCACATGTTGAAGAGTATCTCCCGACAATAAATGCTCCAGCAACAGCATTAACAACAGTGTTTGAGATCCTTAACCAGTCAGAGGAAATCAGGAAGAAACTTGATCTATCATCAATTGTCGTTGTCATGGATCAAGCCCTTTACGCAAAAGCAGCGGAAATTGCATGGCAGCAAGACCAGTTTTCCAACATTGATTTGCGAATTGGAACATTTCACACGATTTGCGTTGCATTGGCTATCCTGGAAAAACGATTTGGAGATAGCGGTTTGAAGGACATCTTCATTGAATCACAGATAGTTGCTGAGGGCTCCATAAGNTGCTATCATGCTTTTCCCTACTATTTATGGTCTAATCTACTAGAAAACCACCATAAACCTTATTCACCCCAGATGATACCAACCAGCCCTACTGGCTCACGGACTATGTGTAATAATTTATTTGTAGTTCATAATCTCTATTAATCAATCAATGTACACATCACTAATTTGTTTCTTTATTTCCTTATTTATTTCTTGATTGTGTATTAACTGTATTTATGCATAATCTGACCTACAAAATTTTTAAATATTATTTTATTTGAAGATTATTTCCAGTCCGTACTGTGCACTCTTGAGAGTTTGTTTGTGTTTTTTGTTTTGTTTCATGTAAGACATCACAAAATGTAAACATTTTGCAACTACTTACATGAGGTAAACTCAAAGTTTCGAAACAACCGCTATTATGGATGCGAAACGGTCGAAGCTTCATGCTTTGCTCTTTCTCACATCACTTGATTAAACAACTTTGCAGCTGTAAAAGTCAATGAAGGTGTTCGAAAAAGAATTTGAAAGGCCTCAAAGATAAGGTATGTGGTCTGTAACAAATAATATTGATTTGCATTCCATCAAGCGAGATTTACTTTGTTTATAAACATTAGGAAGCTGAGACTGCACAGTAGACTGGAAATCATCTTTAATGGGCACTCAACTACTCAATTTAGCTTTTTATAATTATTTTGAGTGCCTTGCTCCCAATTTTCCATTAAAAATATTTCTTGAAAAATCATTTCATCATGGTATTGGAGATACAAATAATTTGTTGTTGTTGGCAAACGTTTCAAAAACCACACAACAGCTGTCCTAGATCCCTCTAAATAACCTTCTTCCCACAACAAGCATTAATTTTTGTTTGCAATCTTTTACATACATATATCATATGAAAGGTGCAAATCAAGTGGGAAAAAAGTAAAAAACTGATTCTAACCTCATGTTCCACAAGAATCTCACTGCTAAGCTTGTTTTGTTTTTCACACAATTTGGCAAAAGCGCTAAAAAAAGAAGAAAAGTTAGCGAGAGGCAGTCATAAGGTTCATTGCTAACACCAATAAAGGCAAAAATGGCTAAAAGTAAAGTGTTAACAGTACCATGAACCTGGAAAGCATGCTAATAGGCTATGCTACAAATCTGTGATGAGGACTTCCGAAGGGTGTGGCCGATCCACTTCCAACGTCTTTGAAAGATGTCAACTTCTATAGGCTGCTGTCTCGAACAAAATGTTGATGTAATGAAGACATCAACATTTTGTACATATTTACATATTTAACTGGGATTTTTACTGTGGTAGTAGAGGTGTTGAGTGGGAACTGATTTTATAAATTTGGTAAAACTCCAAAATTGAAATAAAAAGCACAAGCAGATTCTACAAGAATTTCCCTCTGGTATGTGTTTACCATACTTATAGACACCACGGGTAGTATGTTCCATGGGGTGTATTCAAATACGTACCCTCCCACTCCTACAAACATGTACATTATAAGCATCATGCTTGACTTACTTCATTTCTTCAGTTTGTTCTTCTGTTGGTGAATCTGTCACAACATCTGGGAACAATTTTTTAATCAATTGGTCACCACACAAAAGCCTATTAGACAAATAGAAGAAGCCTTCTTTGTTAATGAATTATTTCTAATAAATAAATAAATAAATAAATAAATAAATTAACCTTTATTTACCCTCGGCAATGTTTATAGCACAAGTGCTAGTGGGGCCGAGCAAACAACTGAAACAAATACTAAAAACTAATAAGAGACTACTTGAAAAGAAGGATACTTCATCAAACTTAAGGCTTATAGCAAGGGTAGAGCAGTAGGGGGAGGGGGAGGGGGACTTATGGTGACTTATCGTAGGAGAAATATATTTACATCTGAGTTTGTGAGAACTCATTTTCAGGAGGGCCAAAGTGTTTTCTGTGGGAGAGGGCCGTGGTGGGGGAGTAAGAGATACTTACTATCAGAATCATATACACCTTACTCCAAAATGGCAGCCAATTTATTATTCTTTTGTCTGCATGTTAATTAGCCCTCTTTGCCTCATTTTCACTTCAAAATTCTTTTGTATTTTGTACATGTTGACAAGGCAAAGAGGGCTAATTACCATGTAAACAAAAGAATAATAAACATCTGCCATTTTGGAATAAGGTGTAATAAGGTAACTTGCAAAATTAACTTTCTTACAGCTGTTTGGTTTGTGTGGATCTAAGCACTCCTTTGAAGGTAATGCACATAGGACTAGCACGCTTGTAGCTGTAACTCACCATCCACTAGTCATAACCATAGCTTTCTTAAACAGGACAATGTGATGCAACTAACCTGTCTAGTACTAGCTTCTTATATGATCGGGCTGTTGAGAGGGAATAGAGCTGATCTTGCAACTTGGATATCCTACCATAAATCAATGTTAAAATACAACATGATGAATTGGCAAATAACTGTGAAACAATAGAGACCATAATTTATTAAGAGAGTTGCCTGTTAGTAATTCTTTATTCAGCTCTTTAAATAATTTTACATCTAGAAATACTACAATGAAGTGTTTGCAAATTTTGAATTCATATAATGCCTCACATCTACAACTTTCTGCTGCTAAACAATTTTCACATCACTGAATCATTAATGCTTTCTTTGAAAGAAATATATTATTTTTTTGATGCATGACATGACTTAACACAAGAAAATCAGAATGGGTGTTAAAAGACCAAACAGACCTGGAAAAAATCTTCAGATTACAAACATGACAAATACAGTGTACATGTATGACCCTAACAGGCTGCAGTAATCCCAGAAAAGTAAGGCCATCCCCTTTTTTTTCTCTGTTTAGCGAAAGTGAAAATGGAAGGTTGGTGGTCCGGTGGGCAGGTGAAATTAGCCTCAGCAGTCTTGTTAGTTGATAAGGAATGAACATTGCACACCTATTGGGCAAGTAATACTTAGTGGGGGGAAATGAAAACTGAAATGTACTGGCCTTACTGGGCAACCGGATTTCAATTTTTTTCCCGCCCTAGACAAGCTTCTATACTTTATAAACGTACATAATAACTGTACACATACCTTTCATAAAGGTCTGATTGTGATGATTCACTAGATGAGGGCTGTAGGTCCTCACGTTGCTGAAGGCGTCCTGAATAACAAACAGACAACAAATCGGAGGACAAAAACAGTTGATCACCCACCAGAGGAAGCGTCTCGTCAAAAAGACCAGTTGTACTATTTTGACAGGCTTTTCTGAGTTGCAAGACTCCTTGTTCATAACTATTCATTCAAGTGTTAGAGTTAGCAACTTACGAACGAGTAATTCTGCCTCGTGGTTTATCTTCTGCTGTTGAAGCCAGTCTTTGCACTTTTTCAGTTCCAAAAGAGGGTTTCTTTCCTCGTCGTCCTGTTCATCAAGAATATCACCTGAGTTTTCATTTTCGTCTTCACTGCCGTCTTCCACAGTTAAACCTCTGGGTGCTACAGGACCCTTGGTTTCTAGCAATTCTTCACCCATCGTCCTTTCTTCAAGCGACTCCTCCGAATTTGCCGCCATCTTGTCCCAAATACGCTTTTCTCGTACCCAGATTCCCGCAAGATTGAACCCAGGCTTATTTCTCAGTCTAGGGTGGGGAGGGGCTTCTAGCAGTGGTTGTCGAGAAAGAAGCTAATTGTTTTATACTTCTACTCATTTTTTTAAAATAAAAAGTGCTTCATTGTTTTTAAATTGGAAGAAAATTCTATAAACGGAAGTTTGAAATTAAATTGTCACATAAGTGGTCAAAGAGTCGGTCAGTGATAAATACTTTCCCACCCCACCCCTACACTAGGGATAAAGAAAACTATTGTTGCCTTGGATTCAAGATGGCGTCCTTGAATGAACACAGTCGAGTGAGGGAATTGTTTGATTCTATGACCTTGGGAGTAGTTCGATCGCTAGGTAAGTTTGCCATCTTTAGATTTCCTTAGCTATTCAAGAAGTAAACGCAAAAGGAGGACAAATGAGCGTTCAATTGCAGAAAATCCAAACCGAACTTCCAAAAATCTCACATCACAAGTGAAATATTTCCAGTACTGATCACTGTGGTAATAATCATTTTCTTAGAGAAGAAGCCTGGTGTAACAGATGTGCGTCTACTGGATAGGCAACCAGCAGAAAAACATATTATATTTACTTGGGAGCAGGTAGGTTCATCAGCCCAACTAATTAATCAATTTAAGTCAACCAGTCTGTCAATCAATCAATCAATCAATCAATCAATCAATCAATCAATCAATCAATCAATCAATCAATAGATCAATCAATCAATCAATCAATCGATCAATCAAACAAAACATCATTCAATCAATTGTAAGTCACCATTTTATACGTGGAAGAGCATCAATAATGCATGAGTCTAAATTATACATATATCCTCACTATTTGACAGAAAAACATGTGTATCCTGCCGGATGACTTGAAGAACTTTTTCCTCACAACAAATGGACTGTTGATTCAGTGGAGCATTAAGTTTGATGGTAATTTTAAGGTCATGGATTTAAAGAAATGAAATAAACAAATCATTGTCAGAAATACTAAAATATCAGCAACATTGATACTGTACATGTAGAAAGTCAGTCCAAGCTACTGCCACCACCAGTGCTGATCCTTAAAAAGAAGTCCATTTTGCTTCTTGGCCAGGCCTGGGTTGTTTGAAAGGTGGATACCGCTATCCACTGGATAAATCACTATCCAGTGGATGGCACAGTTTGTTTTGTCAACCTTTGTCCCCTGGATAGTGATTCATCCAGTGGGTACTGTTTTTCAGCCTTTGAACAACTGGGGCAAGGCTTGAATAGTGAGTAAGGTGCTAGAATATTTTATTCATTGTTCTTATTTACTTTAACCAAATCCCAACAAACCTTTGAAGTTGTGATATTTACATGAAACATATGTCTTGATTAACTTTTTTAGGAAGTGTTTTACCACTGGGAAAGATGGAACTTAATCCAGTGGCAGGGCTGGTGTTGCTTTCTAAAGCAACTTCCATTAGTGACGACAAGCCTTCATTAGCTGACTTAGATTCAGATTCAGACGAAGAGGATGACCAAGGTACGGTTGTGGTAGACCACATCAAAATTGTATTTGACAAACACAACCACCCAAGCAAGTCAGAATTATAAAAAAGAAATTGTTTCATTTGTTGTGATGGAGACAACTGAGATTCAAGTGGAAAGATTCCATACTAACTTAACCCAGCACTACAGATCTATAGGTAATCAAATCACAGAAGAATTGCGAGGGAAGGCTGAAGGATTGCTCCTCTCTACCTTTTGTCTGGGAAATTTAAAATTTGTTATTCAAGTCTTTGAGCTCAAGATTGAAAGGATTGAATAGATCTGACAAAGTTTCTGAGTATCCAATTCTAAATGTGCCTCTTGACTTTGTTTAATCTCTTTCCCCAGGTCATATCAAGCCACACTTTGATAATCGCTGCAAGCTTTTTGAACTTGATCCTTGTGATGGATATGGTAAAGTCTGCCTGGTTTACAAAGACATAAAAGCTGGTATGTCAAAGTCAGGTGTAGATTTGAAAGCTAGTGGAGGAGGGGTGGCCTCATGGTTAGTGCGTCTACCTCCAGATCGAACGGTCCGGTTCAAGCCCTGGCCGGGGACATTGTGTCGTGTGCCTCTCTCCACCCAGGTGTATAAATGGGTACTGNAGAAATACTCCTAGTCGCATCATGCTACTGAAACCGGAGATAAGCCTGATGGGCCACTTGGCCTGTATGCTGACTTAACCTACCTTACCTTCAAAGTTAATACCAACAGTCTTACTTTTTATTTTTTAGGGGTAACAACAAGCCAACCAGAGATATGGTTTCTTGATCGTTCACTGGAATGGTGGTATCTTGCCTCGTGTTTCACGGAATACTTTAGAATGATGATAGTTCACCTTGGTCTTCCACTCTGGCAATACCTTTTTACTGCAACAGGTCTCAGTCCAGAAACAAAGGTCAGTTAAGTTTAGTTTAATTTTGTAATATTGTAGTTTGGATTGCACCAAAACTGCTCTTTCAAATTCATTGACTCAATAAGCTTTTGTGTTGGCCTAGTTCCTGCAGTGAATGCCTTTTTTCAGGCCTTGATCTTGTTTTTTATTTTGGATTGACTATGTCAAAGGTCATCAAAATGAAGGCATCAAAGTTGGACCTAGGCAACTACAGTAATAGGCTCAACATCTGCTCTTCTCTCGAGTGTGGACTACATTTCTGTCAGAGAAGAGAACCTTTGGGGGAGGAACGTGAGCTCCTTTCCCAACAGCAGCTAGTAAGAGCTTTTATTAAGAGTATTTTCATGAATGTAACTGAACAATTCAAAATAATTATTTGAATGACTGTTTCTCCTGTTAGTTAAAATGCTGTCAAAAAATCAAACAGACCAGTATTTGATCCTGAAAAAACTCTTTCCCATCATGAGGACATTTTACACTCTACACCTCTCATTTTGGAACCCTGGCCTTAGAATGATAGCAGTATTGTAGACCATCTTTCAATTCAAAGGAAATGAGATCATTGCTGTATAAAGATATCAGCAAGTAAATTAGAAAAAAAATGATTTGATTTTCTCACCAGCAATGGTTCAATCTTTATGCACCAACAAGATTAGCAATTGATATGGCCAACATGGATCAACAACCCAAGCAAAAACCAAGTGCAACAGAAGGAAACCAGTCTACCACAAACATTCCTTTTAATGCGTTAGATGTAAACAGACTCTTCAAGGGTAAATCTGACAAAGGAAAGAGTAAGCAATCACAAGTAAAGAAACCGCCAGCAGGAAAAACTCAAAACCCAAGCCAAGGTCGACCTGGGCAGGCTGGTCGATCAGCACCAAGATAACACCTCAAGATCTGTGTATGTTTGATCAGGAGAATTTATTTTGCTGTTTCTCAAGCAGCTTTCACCACCGTGGAATTATGGAAATAATATGAGCCTGGTATGAAAGATTACTACACAAGAGAACATGTTGACTTCAAATTGAAGGCAAAAAGGCAGACAATGGCATGCCAGTGACTCACTTGACTTCCGTAACCTGCAGCAATGTTCTGTGTGTGGCTGGTTAAAGGATTTGAAATTATCCATCAAATAGTTATTGCAGTTTAAAGGTTGTGTTTATGCAACACCAAGAAAAAGAGCAAGACTTCCATAAAACTCAAGTCTCTGAGCAGCCAACATTGTAAAATCTACATAATTACATGACATCATTCTGGACCAGTCATTAAGTGCTAAATTATTATATCTACATTCTACAGTGAAAGAATTGTTCTACTAAAAAGGTACCACAACATAAAACAAGCTCATACAGCTGTAGTGACATCAAACTCTTTCTTTATTTTGCTTGGTTACTTCTATATAGTTATGTAACTGGGGCATTCAAGTAATCACTGTTTTTGAAGCTATTTTGATACTGCCAAACTCCACCTTTTTGGAAAATGATAGAAATATTACACATGTATGGATGTGTAAAATCATATTACTGGTTATTTTGTTATTGACTACCTTCAGTATTGTAACATTGAGGTTTAAAGTACAATTTAAGAAATTACCAAACAATTTATCTTCCTTGCTCAATGTGGTATCTTTTGTTTTCCTGCAAGCTCCCAGTCAAGAGCACAATATTAAAACATTAAAAGTGGCCCACATGTATCTGTTGCTATTTAATGTAAGTTATTGTTAATAAAGATTAAAAAAAAGATGACTGTAAACCCCAGCACCAGCTGTTTTTGTACACATTTGAACTCAAAATTTGCTATAGCATCAAGTGTGCTAATATTGCTAACAAGGCTGATATGTGCAACCCGGATGGAAACAAACAAATATGCTCCTTAAAACTAACTGTACATATTATATTAAAAAAATACTTCACTTAGGTAGTCTTCAGAAGAACAACATATACCCAGAACTCTGTTTTCTTTCCTAGCTTTTGGCTAGTTCACTAACTTTAGCCTCGAGCACACTGTACATGCATATACCCATACATTACCTACCCTGCTAGCAGAGGTTTCTTTCTGGCAAGTCTTTTAGTATGTTACGAAGTTGTTCACATCTCTTGTATTTTGCGTAGTCGGGTTGTTTACTTCCTCTCGGGGAAGTAAACAACCTGACTATGCAAAATACAAAAGAAGCGAATGACTTCGTACATGCTAAAAGACTTGCCAGAAAGAAATCTCTGCTAGCAGGGGTATACATTACATTACACCAGAAGTAACCCTTGTTTTTAAATAAATTCTCTTAAAAATATAGATTACATAAATTGACTTAAAATAAGTCAACTTAAAATAAGCCCAAACAGATACAGTACATATTTCTGATTGATCTTTGCAAAGTATGGTGAATATTAAATGGATAAAACAATGCAGTTAATGTACAAACAGAAAAGTTTTCATTTAAAGCAGAAATGTAACATGCTGTAAACCCTGAAAAGAACCACCTTGACCAAGCTGTTTGTATTTAGTCATTAAGTAGTTCCAAGTGGCCTCTTGCTGAAACCTGACCCATGTGAACAGCTTGCAGATTTGACTTTTCCACTGATTTTGAATCTACAGTCTAACAGACACCTATCATGTCACCATACATGTATCTTCATCCAGAGTAAAAAGTATCTATAATATGACATAAAAGCACTGTTTTGTATGCAAATAATAAATGACAAGCAATAAACTAATCATACTTACAAATCAACAATAAATTAATAATTGCTAATCTAATGTATGAATTTAAAATAAGTTATTTTTTTTTACTCTGAATATGATGAGTCACTAGATGATGGTGATAATGTATCATCTGACTCAGGTTTACAAAGTTCTGCAATCTTTTCTCTTGACTTAGCTTGAGCTAGTTTTCTAGGACTTTTCCTGATAATGGAGAAAAAAAAATCAGTATCATTTGCACTGAAAAGATGCTCTTTTGAGTGTTAAAGTAAAAAGCAAAACCAATGGCTTAATTAAATATGCTTTGCAAATCTTATTAAATGGATTCAATAAGATCCCCATTTTTATCTCCCTATGTATCAAAACATCTACATTTTTTCAGACAGATCAGCCCACTTGGCACATTTAAATCCTTGAAAGTAGGCAATGTCCAAAAAATGACTGCTTAATCCAAAAGTTATGAAGGTTAAAATATTCTTTTTAGCCTGTCGGTGTGCAGCAGTCGTTTTCTTCCCAAGAGCATGAGAAATAAACCAGAGGTACACAAAACCTTGGAAATAAAAGTTGTCAAGTTTACACCCTACAACTTGGCGTACCTCCCAAGCTTTTTGTTCATCTCTTGTGCACTTGAGAAGGAAATGACCGTTACGCAGGCTAGTTACTTAATAAATATGGAACTTTACAAAATACAAGTTACAAGTATACATTCAATTGCATTCTTAAACTCCATACATGGACAAAGCACAGAGTGCAGGTATAATGTAACACTTACATTTACTAGTCCTTTAATTTATGTCTTGAATGTACACCTACCTTGTGCACCATCTTAAAACATCTCCACTTGAAGATGACTCATCTGAACTGCTTTCAATGCCATCTGAGCTGTCCGACAGTTCACTTGTCGGTACTGGTGAATCACTCTCCCTGTGTGATGTCGATGATAATAATGATGATGATGTGTACCCAGATGCCATGCCTGATTCTGATTTAGAATCAGATGAGCTCTCCTGATCCTCACTCTCAACTTCAGACAGAGTAGAAGAGTCATGTGATTCTTCAGTAACTACCACACTCTTCTTTGCAGTTCTATGGAAAGGAATAAAAGAAACAGCAGTCACAAGTGCTTACTTCAGAAAACACTTTTCAACATAAACTAAAAATTATACAGAGAGAGTGAACGAATGAAATATAGCAAGCTTAATTCTCTTGACTTTCAAAAAGTACTAAAGCTTATCACCTTTGTTTTGAAGTAGATTGGGCTTCTTTTTCCTTCCTGCTGGATGCCCATTCTCCTGTCTCACTTTCCTTCTGTGCAGCTCTTGTTCTCTAAATAACAAAGTTTGTGTTATGTCAATGACTCCTCTTTTGATTATTACAACTTGTCAAGTTAATGTATAGCAATAGTTTTACCTCACGTTCACTACATAAACTTACTATAAGCAAATTCTGAATTGACAAAACCTGACTGACAAATTGTTGTAACGCGTTTTACAGGTAGAACTCAGTAAAAGACAACAATAAATACCTTTGTTTCACTTTCGTCTTCAACTCTATTCACGTCTCCATTGTCCACTCTAGTTCGTTTTCGTGCAGGTGATTGTCTATTAGCTTTTTCAGTGTTCTTAGTGTTTTCCAACTGCAGTTTTGTAATCACCACGGCACAATTGCCCTTTAGGACGACGCCAGTGGAAGCAGCCTTACTCGAACGAAGGGAAAGAGGTGGTGGTTCGTATGCTGGCTTCTCTGTAGGGTCATCGGGAGTAGTTGTTTTCCGAGAACGAGTGAAGCGACGACCGTTCGTCGCGGCCGCCATGTTGTTGAAATTTTCCCCAGACTGATAGAGTGATGTGTATTGTTAGGGGGAGGGAGAGATTTCAAATTTTTGCCGGGTTCAATAACAGCGGATTCAATCCGCGTACACTGTCATTTTGATACTACTTTGATAATTTATAAAAGAGAGCAAATTACTACAACCACTAATTTTGATGAAGTTTTGAACCTCGACTCTTAGTTCAAATATTGTCAAGATCAGCCTCCCTACCCTGATTAAAAATTTTGAAAAGACGCTCTAAAACTGTCCGCTGACCAGATACTTCGGCGCAAATGTTTTCACGAAATTTCAGGTTCGTTCGCAGTGGACTTCTTCTGAAATGTTTTTCTTTGGAAATAATTTTTTTACGACAATCACGTGAAATTTCTGGGTCTAAATGTAACCGCCTACGTTGTGCACAAAATTTAAACGTTGTTAGTCTTAGAACTAGCACAAGAAACATGCCAAAGAAAGCAAAAGTCGCCCGAGGTACACAACAATCTCACGATCCAGATCCACTGAAACAAGGGGGAGAAGAAGGCACTAAAGCAGCAATTTCCTTGAACAAAGACGGCCAAATCTACGTAAAATTTGTGGCAAAACCTGGCGCAAAGCAAAGCAATATCACAGGTAAGGCTCGGACAAGGGCCCCCCGTCTCCCAACGTCTGAGTACAGTCGACTTGTTTTTGCTTCTTATGTTCTTACACTTGAATATTTTTATTTTTATGTCGGGCCACTTAACCCAGTTAGTTACCAAAACAATGAACTACAAAATTAAAGCAGGTAGTAAGCAAATTCACTTCTCATTTAATATTGTGGAAGATCCACTACGGGGGAAGGGGGCGGGGGGGGGGGAGGGAATCTCCACCAAACTAATCTTTTACAAGATCGTGTAACATTTTGCTGACCCCTTTCTGGTCTGGGGGAAGATACCCGGAGATGATGCAGTTGTTTACTGAGGCCCTGCTAGTGATGAGGCTGTTGAAGTTTCTTGTTACAACAATATACAGTAGGAGGGCGTGATTGCTGATTACTTGCACCTATACACTTTGAATTTATGGCTTAAAAATGACTTGTGTAATAAGAAAATGATTAGAATTTAATGTTGTTACCGAGGGTCAGTTACACAGAGGATATTAGTAATTATAATCCATCAAACATTTTCGTTAGCGTGCAATTGGACTAAACGCGTCACATGACCAAATATTCCTCAGCAAAAACTGGGGAATATCTGTGGGTTGCGCTCTTTGCGAAAAATGTTTGAAGGATAATAAACACAACAGCCTCCATTTGACTTTGAAAATATACTCAGATATTTGTCCTTGGACATTATCTGTTACTCGAAGCTCACAGTTTTCCTCGAGCTTCACTCTTTGAAAACTGTTCGCTTCTCGGAACAGATAATGTCCACAGACAAATATCTAAGCATATTTTCGCACCAAATGGAGGCTATTGTTTGTTTACATGGCCATGCAGAGATACAAAATTTCTCAGTGAGTGTTGAAAGCGAGTGAGAAAAGAAATTCTTATCTCCAAGCGGCCATTTAAGGTTCTATTCATTACATAAACACCAATGAAATACCCAAATCATTCCCTTTCACTGCAAAAGGCATGATTTATTATGTAACCAAGGCACCAGTGATATTTTCACCTGTGCAGAATATATATTTTTTGTTATTTGACAGATATTTCTGCCGATGGTGTTGGAGTACAGATAGCAGCCCCAGCAAGGGAAGGTGAGGCCAATGAGGAACTGGTGCGTTTCTTAGCAGATATCCTCAACGTAAAGAAAAGAAGCATCTCCCTGGACAAGGGAAAAAAGTCAAGACAGAAGATGGTGACAATTGACTCTACTGAAACCAGTGTGGACCAAGTCAGGGAAAGACTTTCAAGAGAGGCATCACATGAGTAATGAAACACCACCTGTGGTGTAGTTCAAAACCAACTACAAGCTGCTGTTATAGTATCTGCTAGTTTGACAGAATACAGTCACCAAAGGTCCTAGAAAGGGAGTCCTTTGGATAGGATATAATGGCATAAGGGCTTGATGTTTCTTTTGTGATGCCTATAATTCAGTTACCAAGTTGTTCACACTGCACCTAAAAGTGCGGTATGGACAGCCTGTGAACAGAATTACGTGTAACTCCAAATACTGCAGGGAGGTTTCAGTGACAGTGAGTGAGTGGATTGGCACACAGTAAGAACAAAAACAACCCTTGGTATTGTGAACAGGTGGTTGTTATAGGGAGCTGGATGTTAGTGGACACTTGACTATAGGCAAAGCTATGAAAAAAATCAAAGCTAGGACCAAAGGCATCAATAATTATACATGTACAGCTGTAAGTGGAATTTGCTGCATTTAAATTAGTTAAATAAATGGTACATAAATGAAAGTAAAAACTGGTGAAAACTCTGATCCTATGCATGACTAGTTTTCTACACAGCCATTACTGTATGTGGGTTGCAACCAACATGCTTAGAGAGATGCCTTCTATGACATCCTAAATAATGACTGTAAAATGTAAAGTCTGTATACGAGCCAAGTGGCCATCAGGCCAGAGCTTATTCCAGTTTCTGTAGCATGAAGAGCCTAGGAGTTTTTCTACTCCCCCCTGGATGGGATGCTAGTCCATCGCAGGGTTACCCCCAGCATTAAATTCGCCAGCACCCATTTATACACCTGGGTGGAGAGAGGCACCGTGAAAGTAAAGTGTCTTGCCCAAGAACACAACATAATGTACCTGGCAAGGGCTCGAACACGGAACACCCGCTTTGGAGCCGAGTGCACTAACCATGAGGCCACTGCACCTCCCACAAATAATGACTATGAAGGACACTAATTCATGTATGGCATATCTCCATGGTGGTACTCCCAACCATATAAACAAAATAACAACAAATTGTCACTACAAATTGTTTTTAATTATTCTAAGATCCTATTTTATATTTATTCATGTTCCACACATGACATAATAATCCACCCCCAAAAAATTTACAAATTAGTTGGAAACATTTAATTTTACAAAAAATACCTATCCTTACAAAAATAGTTTTCACCATTATTAAAACTACCAAAGTTGACATTGAGATTCTTAAACTCTAAATGAACTCTACTGCAAAACAAGCCACCATTAAGTGAAATTTTTTTTGTTAAAAAAGGGAACATCAGCTGCTGAAATAATCATGAATGCATTCAGTACAAAAGCTACAATCTTAAAAAATAAACTTTTTTGCCTTGCACAATAAAGGCTACGCTTAAATTCTCTTAAAGTGTTAGTTTGCATACAAAAGAGATACACTGTAGTTAGCACAATCTTAGTTTACTTTTTTGCATGGAATGTGAAAATTGAATGCAGCTCTAGGAGCTTTTCTGTATGTATTTTAAGAAAACATTCAAGCAGTTAAACCTTTCGCACCAACATGGCATTTCTATGCAAAGCAGTATTTACACTAAACATTCAATCCTACTTCACTGCTGCCAGCACAAACTAAAAACAAACATATGGATTGTACACTCGTAAGTGTTGCGAAAATCTCAAGATAAAATAATTCTTGTCACACTCTCAATTTAAAATTGACGTATGGAAACTGAAAACCCTTCTTGAGCTATGGGGGTAACAAAACTACCTGTTGAACTAGTACATTGTAGAAATATAATATTGCTACATTGACAAGGAAGTCAAACTTCCACAAGAAACCTTATCTTCAAAATCAATAATATAGGTGTTAATAAATCACGAAACAAGTATTTTCCAGCTGTAAAACAACAGGTTAAAAAATAGTGGCAGAATCCCTGATGTATCCTGGCTTGTAATAACTCATTGCCTGCAAATCAAGAAGACAGAAATCTTAGGTTACATACATGTAAACTGCTAACCAAAAAAAGCCCCAATGTTCTATTGGTGTGGTGTTGGCATCAGAAATCTTTCTCTTCATACTGCAAAATATTTAGCAACCCAAAATATTTCATAGTGAAAGTGAAGAACACTGTATAGAGATATTAGAAATAAGTTGTAATGCTGCAGCCTTATCAGTTTCCTTTCAGCTCTGTTTGAAAATGAGGCCTGGTGCAAAACCTTTCTAATTAAAATAAAATGACTGTTACCTTTTTGTTATGTAATGCTCCATGCCTCTGCCCATGTGTTGGTGTTGACTAGATTGCATCATGGATGCTGCTGCAAGAGACAACAAACCAAGCAAATGAATATCTATTACTACAAAAAAATTCCTCTGCTCAATGTGCAACATAATCTTCAATCTCCAATCATTTTTTGTTCTTCAATAACATTACTTTACTGTATGACCATCAGCCAGGCCAGGGATCTATTTTGAGTCCATCACAAAGATTCTGAAACTTGTCTTTGGCAATACAAAGTGGAGATACAAATATGAATAGATTATTTATATGTAACTTACAATGATATTAATCATATACATGTACACATGTAGTACAAGGTCCATATCCCAGAAATTGTGATTTTAAAAGACTGCAAGTTTGATTAACTCACCATAGGCAGGATCCAACTGTCCAATTAGACCAGGAGCAACATAATAACCCATGCGCAGGGCTTGACTAGGGTCACTGTATTCTGCAGCAAATCTCTGTCTTCTAATAATTTCCTCCTCATTAAGAACATCCATGTGGCCTGCCATTCTACTGATTGCAAGATTGTTGGAGATGATACTTGGATGAGCACGTAGAGAGTTGTCCTCCCCTTTAAAATCAGACACTCTTGAGCTAGACTTGGGAGAAACATTTTGTTCATTGGCAGTACTGCGATTCCTGGCCCTTTCTTCCTGGTACATACCTGGTGAATGTCGAGTTTCTTTCTCAGTACTGTCTTTGAGTCTTTGTAGCCTTTCATGGGATTCAGAGGTTGACGTTCGAGATTGCGAGTTTGAATGGGATGTAGGTGTTGAGGTTCGGTCCCTCTCTGCACTTCTATAGGGACTTCTTGCTTCTCTCTCCCGACTAGCAGAAGCCATTGATGTTACGAGACTAGATTCTCCGTGGCTGGTTATTGGCATGCTCATGACCAGTCCAGGAGGAAGGGAGAACTGTGCACCCATACAGGGGAGTTGCCCTAAGAACCATGCAGTGAAAAAAAAATTGGTAACGAAACTAAAACTAAGAAGAAAACAGAGAAATAAAATTGTAAAAATCTATGCTCATTAAGATTGGATATCCCAACACCATCACAGTCATGATTTACTTTGTTTAAATATGATGAATTATTAATGAGTTTGAAAAGTGAACAGGAAATGAGAGGTAGCATGGATATCAAGATTAGCAAAATGTGATGTAACCAATACAAATTCAAATCAAATCTGTCATCATTTTAAGAAATTCTTTTAGATTTATTAAACATTTTCACACTTATCATTTTCATACGTAGTTTTCTTATTTTTTACAGTAACTATACTGCAACCCTTTCCCTTTGATACACTACAAAACTACTTAAGGTAATCATAAACCTTTTTAACATCAATACAGTACCCTTCAAACACACCTGTAGACTGATCAAAGTTGAGCTGTGACAGATATGCCTGAAACTGATTTGCAGGCATGAAGTTGGCAGGAAGTGAGTTTGAGCCATCTCTCTTTTCATCTGAAGCAGATGCATTTTCTTTGTATCTTGATGTGGGTACAGGTGACCTTGATGGTCTTGGAGATCTTGGTGCCAAAAGAGATTGAGATTTACCAACATGACCACGGGGAGATGTTTGGGAATTTTCTGCCTCCAAGGGATGGTGCGCTGCCTTTGCAGTGCTTGTTGCTGACTCCTGAAGTTTCAACAAACAAGGAAAGTATTAATTGATTAAAATATCTGAGTCCTTGTGTTGCCACAAAACCAGTCCCACTGGGAAAAACAAGTGCAACCTTCTGTTGACAAACTCCTCATAAAAGTTTCTGATTTTTAGTGTCCAGCTAAAGAATAAGTAATAATTTAGGAACATGAGATATGGAAAAGTTGTTGTGCAATCATGACATAATTAGCTGCTAAGCAAACTATATATTAGAGACAACCAGTCTGGTCTTGGAGCATGGATACCTCCATCACAAAGTAGTTCTGAGAACAATCAAATAATGAAATACATGTAAGCACAACAATCAGTAAAGATCAAGTTCAACAAACCTGAGGACGGTGATAAATCAAATCCCTTGCACCTCCAGCCACATTTTCTACTCTATCCTCTTCTCTTGTGCTTCCGTGTCTCTCTGATTTTTCAGGGGTTGCCTGACGTTTGCGAGGAAAGGTGCCACCCAGCTGTTTGTTTTGTAGCTCATTCTCTAATTGCCTTAGGAAAGGGAGCAGGAAGCACAGGACTTAAATTATCAGTTGGAGTACAAAACAAGTGGTGTATGCTGGAACATTAACATGCATCCTACTTGTACACTGTTCATGTGTAGCATTTTTTCATTTCTTTCATTTCTGAGAGAATTGATCACAGGTAACTGAAGCTAAGCTAAGCTAAATGTGAATTGAATTACATCTAAGAAGAAATTGCCTTACTTATACATAGATATCTGTAGCACATGTTTCTGTTTCTGAAGGAGTTGCTCTTCTTGCTTGTACTTTAGACGCTCCATCTCCTTCTCCCGTTCATATGAATCATCAGCTCTGCTTTTCTTTTCAGGAGGTTCTTCCAATGAAAGTTTGTGCTGTACTACTTTAGGTGGCGACCCTCTTGATGTATACTGTAAACTCTCACTCTGACTGGGAAATCGACGGAAATCGCTATCATCCTGGTGCGCCCTCCTTTGAGGGGATTTCTTAATGCCTGACTCATACATTCTTCTGTCTTCCTGCACTCGGTCACTTGGTTTTGGAGTCTCCTTTTTCTCAAGATTTCTTACTTCCTGGTGGCTTGAACTGCTACTGCGCACTCCCTAGGAAGAATAACACATGTCTCCAGTGTGTGTGGACAAGCATGCTTTAATTTTATACTACATAAAGCAGATTTCATCCAGAAGTAAAAGCCAAAACCATTGCAGAACACTTGCTTTGAGCAAATTGCACTACAATGCAAACCCTGATATAATTTGAGGGGGAATGGTACTCAGTTAACCTAAAATGGCTTTACTTCCTGTAAACACTCTGGCCCAGGTTGTTCAAAAGGTGGATAACACTACCCAGCGGATAAATCACTATCCAATGCATAAAGTGGTTTGTTTTGTTACTCTAACACTTACCCACTGGATAACGATTTATCCAGTGGATAGGGTTATCCAACCTTCGAAAAACCAGGGCCTGCTTGTTTTCTGCAGCACTGGCGCTAGCCATAAGCATTGATTACCAAAACTCAGAAGGATATACCTTCCTGCTTAACTTATTTATTTCGGGTGCAGTAATGAGGAACAACATTGAGGTAAGTGTCACATACTACCAACAACTTAATGACACATTACAGATATTTTATCAACACATCACCGACCGATAGCCGACTATCAGCTGACTGCTGGTCTGTCGGCCATCTGCCGGACAGTTGGCCGATAGACAACCAACAGATGGCCGACACAATTAATGACATTTGTAGCTTAGTTATTAGTTCCCTAAGCTTCTTTTGCTAACCCATCTTCTCTCCTCCTGTAGGCATGAGAACCATTGTCCCAGTTAAATACAAAAGGTGGGTGTAAAAATTGTTGCTCAGGGACAATACATGTGGCCCTCATCAATCATCAGAATATTCCAACAGTTTTTGGGTCTTTGATCTGAGATCTACTACAGGTACTTACATGTACCTAGAACACAAGATGCATGTAACCCTGTTTTCAGATATGGAACTTTAGTTAGAGACAAAAAAACGTCTAACCACAAGTTACATGTATCTCTCATATCCACATGTACTATCTACGTGAGCCATGCAACACACCTTTTTCTCCTGTTCTAACATCATCTGTCTGTGAAGCTGCATCAGTTGCATCTGTTGCTCTGGCTGCATGTTTTGGAACAACTGAGCCTGGGCTGCAAATGTAGCCTTGGGATCTACAGGCATGCCCTGCATGTACGCTAGCTGACTGAGACTCTTCAACATCTCCATTGACATGCCACCAGCCTGGTAGTACTGGTGCAGTGTCAACTGCTGTTGAAACTGTAAATTGCGCAGCTGTTCTGCAGAAATGGGTTCATGCATTCTGTAACTCAGGTCTGCAGTAGTGTCCCTTAAGTCTCTCCTTTCTCTCTCTTTCTCTGCCACAGCCTTATCCTTTGAAGAACTATAAGTGAGAGGTTCGTCTTTCACAATGACGACTTCAGAGTCATCCTGACTGCTACCATCAGATGCTCTTGATTTTTGATGTAATGCTGTTCCAGCAGATGACTGTTGAGGGCTGTTTCCTTCTGGGGAGGGTTTTGACATGGCTAAGGAGTGTGGTACAGGTGACTTTGAGGTTGCATAGGCTGATGCTTCTCTGAACAAAGTTTCATTTTTTCTTTCACTTCTAACTGGCTCATTCATCCCTGAAGCTTTTATTCCTGAAATACACAATACAAGTGGGTATTTTAATTTAAAAATTCTCAAGAATAATTATTATGAGATTTTCATTGAGTTTTGATCCAAAGAATTGGAGGGAAGGAAGGAGGACTCATGAAAGACTACGTGTAGCAAATGAGGAAATTAGAAACCAATAATACAGGACAGGTAAGATGCAGATGGTAAGGGTGAATGACAGACCCTGAGGTGTACATAAAGTGAAAAATAGATGATTTGAAAAACATAAGACCGTTTAAGATACTTTACAATTACATCACTGTTACAGTATCAACCAGCAATCAGACCACAGGTGTAATATACAGATTTAGGCTAGCCTTAAAGCGTAGCTCCTGGGCCGGGTTGTTTAAAGCACGATTAAGCTAACTCAGGAAAAGGTAGAATTTCAATTTCAGTTTTGTAACTTTGCAGTGAGGTTTTCTGTATATTGTTTGACCTTCTGTTTTGAGTTTTAATAATCACCATATACACAAAACAAAGCAGTAAAACACATTGTCAGTAGAAGAAAAAGCTATAATTCAGTTAACTTTTAATCCTGGGTTAGCAGTAACCAGCTTCCAAACAATCCTGCCCTGTTTTCAACAAGTTAACCTGACATGAGCCCGCGATCCAATCGAAAAACAAAACTTGGTCAGCGGTCAACTTAAAAAGAACACGTTACCTCAATGAGCTATAAACTTGAACCCACGATATGGTCATGTGATACTGGTCAGCAGATACCTTGTTTTGGCAGGTGTCAATTGATTATAACATGGATGTCCAATATCAAAGAAATACACGGTAAACCAAGGCTGCATGTCTTTCAGCCTATTATTTGGAGTATGGCCGCCATGTTAACGACTCCGTCATACGCGCCCACGAGCAATACTGCTAGACATGATAACCATGAGAAAATCAACTCATGGGTTTCCTTTTCCTTCCTATAAGAGTATGGGGCTCCGCCTTAGCTCCACTATAAATTAAAAAGCTATCCAAAGCAGAAAAAAATAGTAATCAAACCTGGCCTAATGCTAGGGTGGGATGACACAGATCCCTGAGTTTTTATTCCTGGTCCAATGATTGGCAGAACAGATGGAAGGCCAGAATGAATGGCAGGTCCTGGACTTCTCTTTAGTGATACTGGTGACACTTCTCCCACTGGAATAGGCACTTGCAATGTTTGCAGTTGCTTAGCTTTGTTCTCTGGCTGCGACAACTCTGCAGACACATCAATGGCACTTGGTCTGGGAGAAGTACTTGAATAGGTTACTGCAAACGTATTTAGGAAGCTGAATTAAATGCAATGTTACTTTTATGTGTCATTCTATAAACAGTAAGTCCTTTATGGGCCTCATGGATAGTGTGTTAGACTCCAGATTGAGATATGCAGGTATGAGCTGTGGCTGGAGTCCTTGTGCTATGTTCTTGTGTAAGACGTTTTACTCTCACATTACCAGTGGATGCCAGGAAGGATGGGAGAAAACTTTTGAGGGAATAGCATTCCATGTAGGGCATGAAACAATACCCTCAATCACTTCATGCTACAGAAACAAAAGCCAATGCTCAGCCTGTAGCATCTACCATGTGCCTCCTCTTGATATGATCCTTACAATTGTGACAGGATCTCATCCGGATGGGATGTTAGGCCCCAGCACACATACCCCAAAAGGTTGCTTGCAACTCTAATTGACCTACGGCTGAGCAGTAGCCAGCAAAAAACAAATTAAATGGGCAGCATTTGACTTTCATCCACCATTAAAACAATGTGATCGTGTAAATTCTTACTGGGCAGCAGTTTAAAGTAATTCCAGCAGCAAGGCACTTGTCTTCTACACAAGAGCATCTTTAACATGAAACCTACTGTAACCCAAAAGAACTGAAATTGTTCAATAGTACTTTCATAATATCTGCTTTTAATTTTTCACATTTTGCAAGATGGAATTTGCGATATTTCACTTGTAAAAGTGTTAACTTTGGAACTGTTACATGACCTGTACAAGAGAACATTGTATGTGAGGGTTAAAAAGAAGGACCTTGGGAGCCTGAATAGAATAACCATTTTTCTATACACCTACAAATACTGTACATGTATAGACAACCTTTACCTGATGTCACAGATGAAACAGTGGCTGAAGTGCTATGTTCAGAGGCTTTCAAATGGTTTGATGCCAATCCACCATCTGAAGCCCTTGGGTAAGGATGGGCAACGCCCACAGGAAGAGATGGAGCAAGTGAATTACTACTCCTTGAAATCAAAGCTGGTTGTGGTCTGGCCAGAGCTCTGGCTGCTGCCTTGTAAGACTTTTCATGATCCTCTGTTCCTTGGCCAGGAAGAGGGCTTTTCCTGTTACCTCTTGATTCATTAAATCCATAACTTCCCTTGGACACCATGTTTTGTTTGCTTTGCTCCCCTGATGTTAGGGACAGTGAAGACATGAAAGGTACTTTCAAGTCTGCTGGTGTAAAACCTGGTGTGTTTACCTCTTGTCTGATCCCTTTTGTTGTCTCTGTAGGCTGAAATTCATGTTTTACTATGACAGGTTGAAAAGGACTTGATGGAGTTTTCCTGTCAACCATTGAAGAATGCAGCCTAGAACCAGCAATTGAAAGAGATGAAGGTGATTGAATGCTAGAGTCAAATCCTGGTCTTGATGAGGATGATTGCAATGCAGAACTGCCAGGTAATGAAGTAATAAAACTTGGGCTTTTTGTTGAGTGATGAGGTTCCATAGAAACCCCAGCCTTCCTGTTTAAAGCTTCTGGAATTGGACTATGAGTTCTAGTGTTACTGGTAGGTAGAGGTAAGTTTTTGTTGTTGATTTTACCATCACTATCACTCTCTTCTATACTTGAAAGCTTGACATTCAAACCTGTTCTTGCACTTCCAGAACCAGACAAAGAATCGCTCTGATTTTGAAGTGCATCAGAATTGGCACCATTCCGAACAAGTTCTGGATATCTTATAGGCGCAAGAGTGGCCTTAGAGTCAACATTTCCTTTCTGATCAACATCTGATGTCCTGATGCATTTGTCATAATTACTATCACCATAGTTTCTACACTCAAAGAATTTGTATCTCATTGATGGAGCATCACTATTGGTAAGTGGAGGCTCAACAGCACTTCGAGAAATGCTCTTGGAAACAAGAGCTTCCATGGAAATGCCTGCATTTGTAGTTTTCCCAGCTTTGTCCTCTAAAGCTGTTTGTTTTGTTTCAAAGTTCCTCAGAACTGATGACTGTGCAGACAAATTCTCAGAAGAACTGGTCCATAAATCACTGTTTTCACTCTCACATTTGGATACAGTTTTCACATTTTTCTCTTTGCTGTTTTTCACATCTGTGGAAGTGTTCTGTTTTCTAACATCAAAATAAAAGCTACTCCCAAGCTTAGCTCTCAGTGTGTCCGAGCTCACAAAATTCTTGTCCAAGTTGACTTCTGATTTCTGTACCTGGGTTAAATAGCCTTCATTTGCAAAAGGTAATCCTCTTGTAATACTTATTCCAGAAGAATTTTTCTGGTCAATAATGGAAGAGCATGGCAGACTAGTCATGTCCTTGTTTGTGTATTCAGAATCTGCAGGAAATAAAATAAATAAATAAATAAATATATATATATAATTCACTAATTAAAAATCATTTCTGGTCTGAGTCTTCTCACAGTAAACTTCTAATGGATCCATTTTCACAGCTTCTATCTTTCTTGCCACTTTAAATACCATGAACACTTGTTTTTGAGCAACAGAAAAGCCCAGTCAGTTGTTGAAGAGTCCATTTACTGGGCTTTTCAAAATCAAGCAAACTCTGAAATAAAAATGTCACAAACAGGATCATCTTTGCAGATCTCTTTGCTTCTCTTTGCTGATAAGCTCTGATCCATTTTGCTTCTCTTTAAAAGGTTTGTTGATAATTCCTGTAATAATGATTGGCAGTGGCAACAACTTCAGAGTTCACATGATTTTGAAAAGTGCAGTAACAAGGTCACCCCTTTCATACAATCACATCTTTATGGCATGTTTGTGTTCAGGGCAAGAGAGTCTTATTGTGTAGTTCCAGAAAATATCCATACCCACCCCAAGGAAGGTTAACAGAAATTCCAAGGGGGAGGGGGGTTTCAAAAGCCCAAATTTTTGAAGGAAAGAATGGCACTTAAGTGGAATTTCCAGAGGGGTGGCGGGGGAGGGTCCAAGCTTAAAACATTCCATGGGAAGGGTATGGATATTTTCTGGAACAACACATTGCACCTCATATCACACATAGCAGACTAGCATTCATGTTCGATCTGTTACTCTGACGATGGCAAAACTTTTTGGACATTCAGTCCTACTACTGTAAGAAGAGTACATGTACAATGTACTAGGTAGATATCAGAAATTAACACTGTTACTTGGTATGCAGTAGTCATATGGCCTGACGCTGAACATCTACAGTAAGCACTGTATACATTTTTAGCTCTCTTATTTCAGTAAGCATTCAATCATAACTTACAATGCACTATCATCATTTAGAAACCCTAAATTGTGATAAAGTAGCCTTTACCTTGGCCAGGATCAATGTCTTCTTCATTCTCACTGATGTCCTCAACTTCAATGCCTAGCTGATTAATAAGCCCTACTCCAGTGTCAACAGCCTGCCGCAAATCCACTGGCTGCATACCAGGAATACTAAGCTGGTTGTCAGACTGTTTGCCACTGAAGTTGTTTTCAGCAAGAGCTTTCTCCATGTCCTCAACCTGACTTATACTAATTGTCTCCATGTCATGGGATTTTCCACTGCCATTTGGCCCACTAACTCCGCAGTCAATAACTGCAGTTTCCCATACCTCTTGACTGCCCTGGGAAGGCTCAGATTTTATTCCAACTGTGCTAGTGTCTGGCATTTCTCTTGTTAGTACTTCAGCTGTGGTTTTTGTACATGTTGTCAAGTTTGTAGAGTCCTTAACCTGTTCCTTTTCCAAATTCTTTACTGCAATTTGCTGCTCTTCTAGTACAGGCTTAAAGCCAGACTTTGAATCAATGTGTTTGGCTTGATCAACATTTTTTTGGTTATCATTTTCCTTCCTGATCTCATGTTCACAAGCCTGTTGACATTTATCCGAGCTTTCTACAAATGATACAGAAGTGTCATCCATAGCACTGTCTTCCTCATTTGTAGGAATGGTCAAATTGGATTCTTTACCTTCCTTTGCATTTGTCAAATCCACACATGGCTCAGTGATTTCCTTTTTCTTGCCACCTGATACTCTGGATGATGCATCATTCTTCCTCTCGTTAATGGCAGCAAGAGCAGCAGCTAGCGATGGAGACACACTCCTTGCTCTGGCACTGACACGTGACGTCCTTCCTTTGAAACCTGGCTTAGTATCAGGTTCTTTGAACTCTTCTACAGGTGAAGGACTGGTACTTGCAGATCTCTCATCTGATTGGTTGGACTAGATTGAAAAGAAGTGAAAAAGCACAACATTTGTGAACTGACAAGCTACCTGTACCAACTTTCTCAGTAAAACATTCTGAAAAATTACTTGCAACAGCATAGTGGGACAGTTCAAAATCATAAGAAAATCTAAAGGCAAGTTCAGTTCTTTGATCTACAAAATGCCCGACTTCATCACAAACCTACTCATAAACCTAACCCAAAGCTTGATAACAAGTCAGATCTGACTCACTGGAACATCTTTGTTACATGCAGCTGGACAATTCCCTTTTTACAATTTAAATACGTTGCTGAAAATTAAACTACAACATATACAACACTTCATACAATCCACTCACCTCTTCCAAGTGTGCATGTGCTTGATGATAGCGCAATCCATTGATATGCTTGTACTTTTTGTCACAACCAGGTTCAGGACATTCAATCAAGGTGGGAGATGGTTGAGGTGATACCGTTGTCTTTATTGTACAGCTTCGCTTTCCAGGGCGTGGGCCATCATCATAATCATCCATATTTTTGGACCTTCTTTTTCCCATTCCTTTAAACCCTTGGGATTTTGGAGGAGGGCAGCCCGACACTCCCCTCTTTCGCCCACGCAGTTTGTGCTTCAGAGGTGTGGCTGCAATTCACAGTATTATAACAAATTAGGTTTCAAAGAAAACACGACTTCGGAAAAACTATTGTGTTCAGTTCCAAAATTGTCAAAGTTACCTTCTTTATTGGCATTTCCTGCAGACGAGGATACTGAGCTATTTTTCTGTCTCCTCTTTCCCTTCACACCTTTTCCACCCATCTTCATTTCATTTTCACCACCATCCATGGCTGGAAATCTGTAGCAAAAGGACACAAAATAATGCACAAAAAGTATTGAGTGAATGAGTATGCAGGGAGAAGTGAGAGTGATGATGTATAATTTTTATGTATGGTACCTTAAGACTGCAGTCCTATCTCTGTGACAAGTGGTGCCAGTGACAATGTCACTGGGTAACATGCCAAATGTACATAAATGCACCTTTTTCAAAGTCAGTTGAAAATTCACTTTTGAGGCTGTAATTTTGAAAACTGCAGTTACACAAAGTTAATGTCATAATTATTTCATTACCTTGGACTGGCCCAGGCATGTCTTGAGCAATCCATCAGAGAGCCGCAATAAAATTTGTTTCTCCATTTGATATTAACAACCAATACTCCTGAAATAAACATACATTATGCAACACATCAGAATGGACGATTATCATACACCTGCAAGTTATCATTAGTCAAACCTACAATAATATTATATGTGAAACTAGTATAAAAAAATGTCTTACTAACCTTTGATTCTACATGTACGGTCACTATTATTATCCCTTAACCAAATCAGGCCAAGACCTAGTAATCAAATGACTGACAAAAACCAGCTAGTACTCTTACCTCCAATTTCATGACACACTATCCCATGGAGAGTCACAGGGACACCAGGAGCTGCAGGCGATGAACTGTTCTCATCTCCTTGACACACTGAGTTGGGCAGCTTTTCTAGAAGATTGGCTAATGGAATATTACCATCCAAACCTGTCATGAATCCTTGTAGTCCAGCAGGAAACATCTGATGGGACAAATTGATTGATGTCTATTGACACAAGAAACTTCAATTTAAAAGCTTTTTAGATTTTTAGAGCCGTTTTCAATTGAATGTTGAAAGTAATCAGGCAATTAGTTTAGTTTTGTTTTTGGTTTTACTACAGTTTGAGATTGGCTGAGTAGTCTAATTGGTAAGTAATTGATTTGGTTTTGCAACACTCAATTGAAAACTGCTCTAACACAAAAACCACCTTGGTTTAACAATACCCTGCAATCCTTTTATCCATCTCTGCCCTAACTAAGGATTGGTAAGGTTCCTGTTTTCTTTTCAAAGAACACCCCCATGTACATGTACATGCAAGAGGAAAATGTCTCAGGGAAGAAACACTTAAATAGAATACACAACAGTTCTTATACATGTCTTATTGTTTTCTGGTTCTTTGAGCAATTAAAAGAAGTGTGCTTAGTCTATCCCAGCTTTATGGACACAGTGAATAATTTTTGGTCCCATCCCTGTTCATTCATATGAAGAAATGCCTTGACTGCACTGTAGGTGTACATAAGACTACTAAGAATATTTCAGACATTGACAGTCAAGACCATATTCACATTCCTGGTAATGGACTGGAACTACAGTAGCTTGCAATGGAGGCACAAGCAGGGGAATATCATGAAAAAGAGATACTGGTAAATGTCATTTGCATTTGAAAAGACTTCCCACATTAGCTCCTCAGCTGCAAGCTATTCCAGTTCAATACCAGGAATATGAATGTGGTCTACTGGAGTTCAATTCCTGTTTTATGCACATGAACTGAGCATGCAGTAACAGTACAGTACCTCTTGATCATCTGACGGCTCCTGCTTGATTTTGGTTTCCTTCCCATTCTTTTCATTTCCATTTAAAGAGATATCATCATCCTCGTCCTCATTTTTACTTTCCTCTTCATCCTCATCATCGTCATCATCCTCTGCCTCATCATCATCATCTTCATCATCGTCGTCATCATCTTCATCTGCATCATCATCTTCATCATCATCGTCACTACCATTATCCTCTCCATTGCCATCTGCTCCAGAATTACCACCATTGCTTGAACTGTTCTCGTAATCTCTAGTGCCTTTGGAGATCTTCCGTCCACGATTTCTTCCACCACCTTGAGACTTTTGGTTGTACTCCTTGTTATCACTTTTCCTTCTCCCACGACTGACCACACGACCTTGCTTCATGGTCTTACTTGGATTGACACACACATTGTTTACCTCAAGGGTGTCCACTTGATTAGTCACAACTGCATCCTCCTTGGAGGGTCCAGAGTACACATCAGAAGAGCAGATAACCTTGCTGGATGCATTTTCAATATTTTCAACAATTCTTGAAGATAAGTTTAAATCAGCTGTTCTTTGCCCATTACATATAGCCATGTCATTTTTCAAGTCTTCTCCTTCTTTATCAAAGTTATCTCCGTGTGGAGCCTTTTCTACTTTTTCTAGATCCTTAGCCTGAGGTGTACAAGATGTTACACCAACTGATACTGTCATCACTTAAACACCACGGCTAGCTGTCTGTTACAGCGAGTCTTGGACCATACATTCACTGATTAATGATTCATAATTCTAAAGGAATTCAAAGACAGAGATCAAGACGATTAATTTTTAATCATAAATCTGTATATATGTTAAGTGATATGAGGTCCACATTGAGGAAATATTGAATGTGTGTGTCTTTTTTACAAGTTAATGGACTGAGCTGCATGCAAGATAAATTACAGTATTCCATTGGAATAATTAACATACAGCTCTTCCTTCCTTAGCAATAAGACATGTTTTAAAACATATTAAGTCACAAATAATCCTCACCATCAGAATGGAAAATCAAAAGTGTCCATACTGTACTAATGGCCACTGTATTTAACTTAGAAATTGAGTTCTGAGCATGTCTAAAGGCTTCTATTTCATAACAAAGTCTCATTTCCTCTCTCAGTTCAGAGATCATATATTATCAAGTTGAACATGTTTTATGTGAAATGAAAGATTTTCAAAGGACACGATCCATTCAACCAAAATTTCCGGAAATTTCAGTCTAAAACTGAATGGATTGGTTCAGTCCAACCTGAAAAGTTTTGAAAAAATCGGTCCACTTTTCAAGGTGGACCACTTTTCCCAGTTGTACCGGTCTGATCAAAATGGACCGTTCCATTAGACCATTCCGACCCATTCTCAATCCCAGTACCTCGGTATTTTCCATGTACACCATGGAGGAAAACACTTACTACTTCGCTAATTCGCAAACCAAGTGTATGTTTTGGCTGTTAACAGCTCTTAAAAACGATTTATTTCCCGAGAGAATTTGGAATGTTCTTTTCATCATTCGAAAGTGGTGTTTGAACTCATACGGCAAATATCTGGGGATGGTCTGCTCAAAATAACCCGTTATACCGGTTAAATTACTATGCATGAAAGAGCTCACACAATATCATTGATATCACCATCAAAATCATCATCTAGCTCTTATACGAGCAACAGTGATCCAATATCCTCCATTTTAAATGAGCAGGGGAATGGAACGAGACTGTCCAGACCTGTCACAATCCATTTGATACCAAGAAATTTCGAACCTCAACCCGGAAATTTTGGTTGAATGGATTGTGCCCGAAGTTAGTCCAGCCTACCAGTTGCTTCTTCATTCAAACCAAGACATTTCCTATCCTCAGATATCAAGCCTACAAATAAACATCCATTTGAATGCTTGAAATTTTCAACAGCTCTAAGCACTATATTAACAATAATGGACCACTAAACTAACTTTTGCTAAGGGAGAGTTCCATATTTTCGTGATGTTGATTGTTGACTAGAGTTGTGTGGCTAAGCATAAGAAATCCTTTGTTTAAGTTGTTTTCGTCAGTTTCCTGAGAGACAAAGCCACAGAATCAATATTTTTTTGCTAATTTATGGAGCTAATTATACCTCTGTTAGATGTCACTAAAACATGCAAATTTACAGACAAAAAAAATTCACTAGAGATCTAAACTGCCTAATGATGCAATCTTCAATTGTGGAGAAAACTATTTATTAAAAATAGTGCAAAATAGTGCTTGTTTTCTTAAGAACAATGATAACCTTGCATTGCTAAAATGTTATTCTTTGTTATTGATATGGTGTCAAGTATAGTATCAGCAACACAGAAAAAATATAATTTGCATATTTATTACTAAAGATATCTTGCATTGATTATAACAAATTACTTCCTTGGCAAGTGTCCTTTTATTTGAGATGAAAGCGTGAAATAAAAACATAGCAGTGCTAATCCTCTTATCTGCAGATTTTTCTTCTCATTGATTAAAAGAATTTTGAGTTACATTGAGACATCCACTTGATGTTTGTCATTATTCTCATCACTGCACCTCCTTGAAATGTATTGGCCTTAGTAGGAGAATTTAAATTTTGGGGTTAAACAGCCCTGTGAGGTAAATGTCTGTATCACATCACACAAGACACCAGAGAGATAAACCAAACACACCTGGCCGAAATTAAAACATGTCAATTATTGTCTCACCACATGCACTTGATGTTATACTTTTCTTAAACTAAACCCTGCCACATGTTACCAGTAAGAATTATTGTTACCAGAAATAAATAAAAAAATACACAGGATGGCACACTTCAGCTGTAACAAATGCGAAAGCAACATCTCACAACTCGAACACACTTATCAAAAATGTTCACACAATTAGATGGTATACAAGACAGCTAAGAAAAAAATAACCTATTTTGTTGAAACTATTAGTTACTATGATTAGTAAAAACATGCTGTTTAAAATATTTATAAAAATAAATGCAAATTTGTCACAGGTCACTTCATAAACACACTTAAGGAGGCCACGCTTCACTTCACAACTCATTGCACTCAATATCTCTTTCTCTGTCTACGCTAACTACATAAAACACGAAAAAATCGTTCTTAGCCAATGCATCTAAAATGTGTGACAGCCCATATTAAAATTACATGTCATTTTCACAGTATAGCATTGATTCCTAAGGTGGAAGGTTTGCTTGGAATACAAAAGTTACAATACAAAGACCCTCAAGAACAATTAACAATGGTTATCATGTGAAGAGAACAAAAGAGGGCATTTCATTGGTCGATCAGTTTTGCACCAACTGTTCAAATAAACGAGGGGGCAACAAAGTCAAGCCTACCACTGGGAAAAACACAGAAGACAATACTTCACAAAAGATTTACCTGAGCGACAACGTAGATAACCAATATCGCGCAATGTTTGATCGCTTTATCAAAACGCGAAAGCTAATAACTTCACGTTAAGTTGTTTTCACAGTGTGAACCGTAAGGAAGTACCGAAACGAAATCCAGTTTCTTGCGGGGTTTTTTTAAAATGATTATCGTCCGCGGATCGAGAAGGCATGTGTAAAATTAGCAAGATTTTTTTCTATGAAAATGGGTTTAAAAATAGTACAGGTGGACGTAACAAAAAAATCAGTAATGGAAAGGCGATCGCCAGAATCGTGTCGCAAACCTTCATTTTAGAAGGGTTAAATCCTTTAATCGCGTTAATGGTAGTTTTGGGACATACCAAACGAGTTTAAAAGCATGGAGTTGTGACGTGGTCTGGGCTTATAAAAGGATTTGAATTTTATCAAAAGCTTTGCTTACGTCAGTGTCTCGCCCGAACAATCGATGAAGTTTAGAAAACAACAAGCTATTTTACTCCAGTAAAAAGTTCCGCTCGGAATAATAAGGTGTCACATTCGAGTACCACATATAAAAATATAAATGGAAACAGCTGAAATAATGGCAGGAACTCTAAAAGTTTTATTCAAGCGGACGATCGCGAATATATGGGGCCCCCGACATGCAAGATTTGCAAACATGTATCGAGTTATCCCGAGTTATCTAAACAAAATATCAACACATTTTAATAACTCGATCGTTTATCATGTCCATCAATTGTCGGCAAATTTGAGAGAATTATGCAGGGACGCATTTTATTGGGAGAATAGTTACAAATTACTGTTCTGTAAAATGTTTTTCTTATTGCGAGACACCAACTAACGTTCACGCAGGATATTACTTGAAAGCGCTTGAAATTGTTCACAGGTCACTTGGCGGCGTCGAAGAGTAATATGAAGAACTTATTACCGTAGATAAAATGGACAAATATCTAACCTCTACCTGTCACAAGAAAAGCACTGCACCATTTGTCTCGAAGGTTAAAACTTCACAAGCGGAATAATCTGTAGAACACAAAACATAAGCCTAAATTGACGTCAAGCAACGAGAAATTGAAGAAAGAGAAATTGTTTTGGGGGCAACGAAAACTATCAACTACGACTTTCCAGCTGGAGTAAGGTTGTTTCTTGGGGAAAAAGCCGATTTTACGTGGGTGATAAGCTATATACAAATCTTTCACCGAATGTGACAAAATTAGAAATTCAAATCGGTCAGCAATGTTTGTTATTCATAACATTACATATTCGTCGATCACTCCGTAAAATTACGATTTTCGCCTTTCGAACCGAAAGAAACGCTCTTATAAAATGTTCACCATGAACAATTTGCATCCGTGAAACCTTTATGAAAAGACTTCCGACAGAAACTCGGAATTTCCTGAGATTTTCTAGATTTTACAATTCACGCCATACACATTCAAAGATGCTTGAAATACCAATTGCTTCAAGACGGAGATAAAAAACTATAAAACGTGGTGCAAACCTCGTGAAACTTCGCTCCTTTGACTCCAATGGTTAGTCCAATTCAACGGGGTTCTGGTCGCAGTAACTGTTCCGTTTTTCGTTCAAAAATAAAGATTTTACTGCAGTTTCCACAGGACGATTGAAAAGAGATGCGAGCTACAAAAGGGTCGGGCCAGATATGAGCCTCACGACCAATCAGTAACGGAACTGACCAATCAGACCGCTCCATTATCATGTCACGCTTGACACGCAATGTCATACCGCTCCGCCATGACTTGTCAATCAGAATTTTCCTTTCCCGAAACTCAAATAATAAGTTCTTTTCTTGAATTTTCAACGTTTTCTTTAAAAAAAAAAGTGAAAAATAAACGGCAGCACTGTCCTTGATATCACACTCGCTATCCATAGAATAACTGAAAAATGCCAAAGTAAAACAGCAACTAGAACGAGAATAAAACAGGAATAAGGCTAAAATTGGAAACGTCTGACGGCTTCGAACTTCAACAATGCTGAAACGCTTTCAAATCTCTTGAAACGAACTCTGGAGTTCTTGACAAAATTAAATAAAACCCGCAGACGTGGAGTAATTTTGTTTCTTCTGCGGTATGCCATTAATATATTGCCCGAATTTGCGGGTAGAAATTAAATTTATGCGCCTGTCTTGGTGACACAACACTGTTTAGGGGTGTAATGTGTTGTTTTCTAACCCGGAGAGGTTTGTTCTGGAGTACTGCCAAGGCGTAACACTATTGTTTACGGGCAGTCAACCGTAACAGCCTTGGACAGCCATGGTTATTATAATTCTCTAGTGGTTTTCTGAGAATCAATACACAGCACATTGACTTTGAAGAATAGCCGCCCTTGGACTGGCGCTCTCGAAAGCGAATATTTTATTGACACCACTTCGAAACCAATTAGTCACTATCGACAAAATCACCTGGGCTTGAACTTAAATTTACAAGGCAACGGAGACAGCGATGACAATGGGGCCAAATTCTGCAAATTTATTTGAATCAATTCCAGGTCGATTTCTTATCAACATGTATTCATTTTCATTACAGTTATAAAAATACCAAGTGCAAATCGCTTTTTACAATCTATGTGTAAACTGACTTGTCGTTGAAAATAGAAATTGCCACTTGCAACCACAAACAAAAATCTATGGTTCTTGGATCAAAAAAGAGAAAAAATTAGTATTATATTAAGTGTAATTGTTTTCTCAACGTTTATAAATGGCGATTTCTTAATGTAAATTTTAGGGTAAAAAAAATATAGAACCTCACGCATAAATTACTTACCTGTTTTCTTATTCACCTGAGTAAAACAGGAAATACCGGTGAAACGCTTTTGANAACTATCAACACTAACTAGCCATGTGGGTCAGTAACCATTAAGGGAGCACGAACTTGAACGAGTCGCTTTCGATTTCCCTTAACCAGTTTAAAAAGCATCATCATTTATTCCTAAACCCAAGATGTGCTTGCTATTACAAGTAATTTGCAGAAGTAGCAAGAGTAATAATAATCATAAAAAAAACAAAAAAACAAACAAAAACAAAGGGACTGAGTGGGTAACTTGGGGATTAAAAAAATGTTTCATCGTGTTGGTATGTGCAAGTTACTCAAGCCACCCGCAAAGTGAAGGAGTTTTTTTCCTGTATACAACACTTCTGCCTTTCGTGTTGAAACGAAGTACATAATTTGACGACAAGAGAGTTACATTATTGAAAATTTGTACTTCCAGTAAAAGCGTTACTAGCACCTCGGTTAGTGGTGGAGTTATGGTTTTGGCAAGGCATCACCACACGTTCGCACACGAAGGATTACAAGGGAATGCGCAGTCAATATGTTGGTGTTGTGTTGTCCGCTCAAACATCCAATTTCCAACAGCCTCGGCTACGCTGAAACCATTCACAAAGATTCCATTCCAAGTGTCATCGTACAAACTCTGGGAATGCTCTAAACACGAGCTTAAAAACAATCCTGAATTAGCTGACTGCATCACAGGACGCAAGGCGTACAAACTCACATTTCTGTATTGCATAATTACCGACATTTCACGGCGCGTGCATTCTGGCGGCCTGCAATAAATGCCGTGGATATGCTTGTAGTTCCAGTTACGATCAGGGCTTGGTTTACTTGGAGAGCTTGCGTCTTTCGTTGATCTACGAAACAGACTTCGTTTCAATGTGAAATTGTCGCTGTATTCAGGGACCTGGCAGTTAATTCCACGAATGTGAATCAGCTGCCACTCGTCATAAGCTGATTGCAGCACGAAAAGAGGCGTGTCTACATAATTGAAAGCATGTTGAGGAAATAAACATTTCCATCGAAACGAGGGTCGCAAGCCTCTAGCACAGTCTTCGTCGACGCCGCTAACAGAGTTGTGTACATCAAACATCTTCTGAAAATGCCTGTTAATAATAGGATCTCCACTGAAAGCTGCCACGTCTACGAAGTATCCCGAGTCAGCCAATGCACGAACATCTATCGATTTAGGAATACGATTTCGGATGAAGTCGGCGTTCATCATTACTGCTAAACTACCAGCCGACGTTCCGCTGAGAAGCAGGCGATTAGCATGTCGGAATTCGCTCTGAAGTAGCTGATCTATGATCACCTCGAGGATTTTTTTGCCTCGCATGTAGATGTACTGTCCGTTTACATTCACAGGGTCTGGTCGATAACCAGTAAATGAAGCTCCATCACAGTAACACAGCAGCACTAAATTCCAATTGTAAAAATCCGGGTTTACTTTGTCGTCTTCCGAAAGGATTCCTTGCAGGGTTGGAGGGTGCGGTGGAAAGAAATTGCTTGATCCTAGGCGAGTTTTACTCCGTTGAAGACAAGACTCTTCATCGAAGCACCAAGCTCCACCAAAGAAGTGAATAATCCAGTTGTCATTGCCCGTCCCATGTCCTTGTCTGAAGTAATAACCCGGGGGGGAACCATCCAGACAGACTGCGCCTTGTTTGACAGCAAACGGCAACATCACTAGCTCGACGTTCTTCGAATATGAGCGTCGCTCCTGATAATGTTTATCATTATTTTCAGTTGAATGTGAATTCGGGATGTAAATGTTTACAAACGCGGTGTTTCGTAATAAAAACGAAATGATCAGAACTGTTATAAGACAGCTTAGACTACTAGAGATTAAAACGGCTCTAAAATGTCCTTGGGTTGAAGAATTGTGACTTCGTTGTTGTTTCAGGACGTAGCTGTCCTCAGCAATAACTGTCATCGTTCTCTACCTTGTCCCGCGCGGTATTCTACCGCTGACGTTCATTTAAAGACCACGGTTGAAACATTTTTCAGCACATAATCGAAGTCAAAACAATTTCATTCTTTCTCGCGTCGCCCCAAATCCTCTTTCTCAGCCCATTTGGATTTAATTTCAAGGCGTACTTTTTCTTTCTTCTTGTTCCATCCGTTAGTCTTTTCACGATTAAAATTAAAAGGAAACTTAATTTCCTTTGCCTTGGAATGTCTGAACAAACAATAGCAACAGGTTGTGCAGGTGTCTTGTTTACTCCGTGAATCAGCTCCGTGCAAATGATTGAACTCGTTGTAACCTAACTAGAAAGCGAATGAAACTCGCTAACTGAAGTTTATCGACCAGTAAAAAGTGACCAACGGCCCTTTATTCATATTGACAAACGAAAATTTTCGATTCAGTTTAAGATCGTGCAACGTGCACATTAAATTAATTTTTATTAGCTTAACTAGACAACTCCAAATCAGGTTAAAAATATTTTGACCGGCAGCGGAATCTTGACCACACGTCACAACTTTGAAATTTCATTAGCCAAGGTCCAGTCGCTAGTTACCAGGTTTACAAGCGCGAAGCCTAAGGCGGGTGTTGTGACATAATCGCTGACGTCACTGCTCAGGGTAGGGACCAGGCTCTGGTAAAGGTCTGGTAAACAAGCCTGGTGAATGGAAAATTCAAGAAACTGGTCGCTAATATTGTGTTCCGGTACTGGAGTTTGTTTTAGTGTCCTCCTCTCGGAAAGCCGCCTGCCGTTGTCCTATCAGCCTGTTTGAATGTTTCATTTGCATGTAAAGAGATTTTACAATTTAAGTGAGTGGGCCTTTCTGCAATATAAAATAAACGAAGTTCTATCAAGGGCAAAAGGCCCTCTATAAAGGCAGCGATAATAAAGCTTTACTTTCACTCCAATCTTTATTAATACGCAATCTACATTCTAATCCCGTATAATTTTTCAAAGCTGTGCAAAGAATAATATTCGATTCATTAATGTCCCATTCTGGGGAGATTTGTTTGTTTGCTTTGGTAAATTGGCGAATTATATTCACAGTCAAAACAAAAATAGCGAATGAACGGCTTCACATCACTCTTTGGTCGTCTTCTGTTGGGACTAGCAATTTATAGCCAATTCTACTCCCCCTGGATGGGATTCTGATCCATCGCAGGGTTACCCCCAGCATTAAATTCGCCGGGTACCCATTTATACACCTGGGTGAAGTGAGGCACTGTGAGAGTTAAGCGTCTTGCCCAAGAACACAACACAATGTCCCCGGCTAGGGCTCGAACCCGGACTGCTCGACCCGGAATCGAGCGCACTAACCATGAGGCTACCGCGCCTCCACACGTGATGAACAACAGCTGTCACTTAACCCATCCTCATCAGAGAAATCCTTCCTTAAAATGCAATGGCTGTCCCAAAAGAGCACGACCTTTGTCAGAGCGGACAGTAAAGATGAGAATTTGACAATCACCACAAGAATACAACCGAAGTTATCGGGAACTGTAGAGGCGTGTGTCTAACACACTATCTCAACACTACTCTGAAAAAGAACTATTTACAGTTTTGCAATATGTGTTTTTCCCCCTTTTTTTGGAAGGGCGCCCTTATTCTTACATTCTCCTTTCTTGAACAGAATTTATTATGCATTATTAACCCCATGTTCCACGGGTAACGATTCAAGTAAAGTGGCTTAGGTCAGAGCCATTTTCAGGCATTTGTTGTCATCGTCAAAAAACCTGTTCTTCGACTCGTAGGTCTCACAGAACACTCCTTAGGTTCTTTGCCGAGTTTCCAAAACTCTAACATGCGAACGTATCACGAGAAGCAGATCTTTGTAGGACGTAGAGGCCAAGTCCAAAACAGATCCGATCCGTTTGGACCTTGTGATACGCTGTAAGATAGATACCAGCTGACCATGTCAGACATTGCCGAGTGACCCTTAATATTAGTGCTTCGGAGGTGTTTTGGTGGTAGTATTTTGAGAGGATACAACCAACCCTTGAGCTGTTGAACGCAAATAACGCGTCCCTCTAAACGTTTCAAAGTTGGCGACGTGATTAATCCAACAATGCTCTTCTCTTTTTGTCTTTTTATGGGCGTGGAAATCAGAAGCAGTTTCACTTTCGCCACTGGTGTGAAAATGTGACAAAGTGCCATTGCTGCGGTGTATTACGTTAGAGTTTAGGTTCAAAACTAAAAGCTAAGTTCCAAATGTTGAAAATATCCAATTCAAAACAGACGCTTTGCGCACTCCATTCAGTTACACGATTTTCCTTCTCGTCGACCGCGGTTTCCTTGGCGGAGTGGAATCCCTGGTATTGCTCGCCCGGGCGGGTAAATCCACAGAGTCTTGCAGCCGGGGTCTTCCTCTACTCGGGCGAATGCCATTCTCGGCTGAACTCGTAGTTGGAGGATTTCGACGAGGATTAGAAGGCACTGAAGAGGAGCCGTTGCGACTGACTGGCTTGTCGATAGGTGGTAATGAATCGGGAGCCTTAGTTCTATTGCTACGAGAAGTACCCACTTGCGTGGCTGACGAGAAATCTGATTTTGAACCACAGTTGTCAAGTCGTCGCGGCTTACTCGGTCTAGCTTCTCGCCTGTGGCTTGCTTTGTTATCAGGAGCTTTCCTATAACGCGGTTCCATTTCGTCATTCATACTTGGTTGATGGGGTTGCTGGAAATTGATAACAGGACAATGGAGACGTTACATCTTAGAACAGTCACTTAACGAGATAAACCATAACAACTACGACTAAACTAATTCAATTGCATGGCAATGACTTAAATTTTAAAATCAAGAATAAAACTCCTGGTGCTTTTTTATTGGTTCTTTTAATGTGTTTAACTATCTATCTTTCAGATTTGGAAAAACAAATATTGTTGAAACTGAATCATGCTTTATGACGTTTACACTTAAATAACAGCATCTTTTTCAGTCATGTCAGCCTTGACTTTGAATCCCTGTCTCCCAGCTGCACTGCAGCGACACAAGTAAGGAGATTTGGAAGTTGTCACCAAAGTACTCAGGTTCGTATGTTTAACTCACTCTGCTTAAAATCTTGTTAAGGTGCTTTTCGCTAAGAGTGCTTATGATTTAGTGAAAATCGAAAATCGGAGTCGTAAGCGGAGTCAAGCTCGACAGAATCGGAGTTTTAAGAATCAGAACGTTTCCATTTATACGAATTCTGCTTATAACTCCATTACTTACGATCCAGTGAAAAATAGATTGTCAGAGTCGGAAGCAGAAGTGGATGAACCAACCAGTCACAGGGCCCGGAATAAAGCATTGTGATTGGTTTATTCTTATGCTTCTGCTTCCAACTGCGACAAAGTAGTTTTCACTAGATTGTAAGCGACAGAGTCATAGGCAGAATCGTTGTTCTGCTCCCGACTCCATCGGTTTGATTTACTCTACATCGTATCGCTTTACACTTCTGATTACGACTCCGTCGCTAGTGAAAACCAGCTGTTACACTCACCGATCCAGTGGCGCTGTCACTTTGCCGTACACGAGTGGGTTTATTCACCATCTCTGCTGCTGGCTTGCCCCTCAATCCAGCATTCAGTTTTTTCTGACTTAGTCCATCCTCTACTGCTTTGGCTGCTGGGGGCTTGGAAGAGGTGCTATGCGCACTCAGTCTCGGCTCAGGTTGTCTCTTCCCTAGCTGGTCAGCAGTCCTGTTTTTATCTCGCAATGCATCCTTGCTTGGTTGTCTGTTAGCTAAGTCATTATTTCTTAACATTGCCTGTCCGGGCAAATTCTGGTGATTAGCTGCCCTGCGATGTTGTCTCTGCAGCTCATTGTTCATTGGAGAGATGTCATGCCCTCCATGCCGATCACTGTATTTCTCTGGCTTACGACTAAGATCTCTAGTTGTAAAATTGTCATTAATATTAGGAGTGAAATCTAAATCATCACCATCATCCAGCTCGCTTGGAATAAAATCTGTCATGGCCTTCTGGGTTTTCTTTGATTCATACACTGGTCTACTGGGGCGACTTGTTGAGCCATTTCTGACCTGTGACCTGGTATTGTTCAACAGAGGCACCGGGGTCGAGCTTTCAAGTAGCGCTGAAGGAGGACGACTTTCCGGACAAGCATCACAGACAGCCTAAAACCAAACAAAATTTAGTCCATTAATGTGTATCCTGTTACTGAAACATTTATCGTACCCTTAAACTACCGTAAACGAAGTTTAAATCAAGTGAAAATTAAAAAAAAAAATTGTAAAAACGATGTTTTCACTCACACTTGAATGGGTTTGTTAAAAGATTTTGAAAGGCCGAACAAGATTGAAAAGAATCTGAACTACAATATAGGCCGTGACAAGGGGGCTTCAGGCTTATAGTTAGTCACAGTCAGACCTGCTCAAATGGTCTCTGCCATTGTATCTCGCCAAAGTAATGAGGCTACATGTGTAAGAGTGAAGGAGGGAGCACTGTGAAAGTAGGGGTATGGGCATTTATTTTACAGACATAAGTGTTTTATTGGAATAAAGAGCAGTCAGAAAATTCATACGAAACTACATCCTGGACCTGGGAAGTGTACTTTCCAAAAAAAAAAGGTTTTAAAAGGTTTTTAAATCGCGCGTAACATCAAGCGGTTTTTGCAACTGAAGAAGGCTTAAGGTGATTCCTTAGTATTGCATTGCGCATCCCTACTGCGCACGATTTTCGCGTCATTAGCGCGCACGCGTACAAAACGTAAGAGATGTCCCTCAAACTATGCTCGATAGCGAAATAAATGCTCCTTTTCTCTTACACGAGCACGGTGACCCCCACTTTATATATTTCACAATTTCAATGAGAACAATATCCTCAATAGCTGAGAAAAAACTTAGCACAAATCTATGGCTACTTTTTTGGCAAATGAAATAAATACTAGAGGGAGACAAAACGGGCCCAACAGCGCATGCCCATATTGTGTTTCCTTTAAAGGATAAAAAATGCAGGGTATTTGAAGATATTTTTTCTGGGACGTAGATGAATAAACAATCAGAGAAAGTCAAACTCTGTGTGATATGACACGCTGCATTGAAAAATAATCCAGCTTATTTGTTGTGCACGGAGATTACCAAAAGTCACCTAACTAATCGTATTTGTCAGCATTGTGGCGTGAAAACAAACACGGTGACCCCCTCTTTTTACGACGTTTTTAGTATCTCCTTGTCCTGTAACAACAGCATACCAAGTTTCACCGGAAATCTATGGCGGGGTCTTTTACTAGGGAATCACCTT